GCAGACACCCAACCGACTGAGCCACCCAGGCGCCCCTTCCCAAGATCATCTTAACTCATCAAAACCTTGCTTGCAACATATTTCCCAAACTGAATGGGTGTCCCATGACACCAATCCCATTTTATCCACGGATGTATCTGCACAGTATTCATATATTAAAAATTTATTTTTTCTTTTACCTATTCGTGTAGTTGGAAAAGTTTGTTAGAACTAGCCTGCTAATCATTCCTAACACTTCATGCATAATAAGCAGAAATGCACCAGCTTTTATGATGATTTGCCAGTATAACAGGAGGATATCTTGTTTGCATTTCCATGCACCCAGTGTCAGACTCTCCTTACTAGCTGGCACATTAGTAGATAGTTTGTCTTTTTTTAAAGATTTTATTTATTTATTTGACAGAGAGAGAGAGTGAGAGCAGGAAGACAAGCAGGGGGAGTGGGAGAGGGAGAAGCAGGCTTCCTGCTGAGCAGGGAGCCCAATGCGGGGCTCGATCCCAGGACCCTGGGATCATGACCTGAGCCAAAGGCAGACGCCCAACTGACTGAGCCACCCAAGCGCCCCAGTAGATAGTTTTAAACTTCTTTTTTTCTCCCTTTTAGCAAAAGTCCGTGGAGATCTCTTCCTCTTGCCACTGAGGTCGGGAGCAAGGTTGCTGTATTTTAAAATGCTACGATGTGCAGATTTCACCCCATTAGCACTACATTTCTTTTTTTTTTTTTTTAAGATTTTATTTTTTATTTTTTGACAGAGAGAGACATAGCGAGAGCAGGAACACAAGCAGGGGGAGTGGGAGAGGGAGAAGCAGGCTTCCGGCAGAGCAGGACCCTGGGATCATGACCTGAGCCAAAGGCAGACGCTTAACGACTGAGCCATCCAGGCGCCCAGCACTACATTTCTTAAGAGCTACTTGGCTTTCACCATTGGCTTAGTATTCTATATCATGCAGCCTTCTGATTTCATCTTTCTAGAAAGATGGACACCTACATGGCCTCCAGCTTCCCACTTAATGAGTATCCTTACCTCGTGCAAAACCTTCAATGAATATAAAAATGCGGAACAGAATTACCAAGTCACAGCTCTCTCAGTTTAACAGAGACCCCATAACTGGCTTAAACAAGGAGAATGTCTCTGTGGGCCGACAGCTGGGAGCCCCAAGTCCTTCTGTCAGTTGCTGCGCAATCCTCTAGGGTAGTATCTCCGAGGACATTTGGCTCAGTCTAGAGACCTCTTTGGCTGTCATACTTGGGGAGGGAGGGAGCTGCTGGCGTCTAGTGGTGGCCAGGATGCTGCTCAATACCCTACCATGCACAATATCCTATGATGCAAGGACAGTCCCCCACCACAAAGAACAATTTGGCCCTAGAAAAGTCCCCACTCCTTTTTTCCAGGACTGACTTGTTGAAGAGACACCCCAGCCTCTGGATTTGTCTGTTGCTTCCAAACGTTGTCTTTTTTTTTTTTTTTTTTTTTTTAGATTTTATTTATTTTAGGGGGCAGGGAGGGGCAGAGGGAGGGGGAGGAAGAATCTCAAGCAGACTCCCTGCTGAGCTCAGAGCCGGACACGGGGCTCGATCCCATGACCCTGAGATCACGACCTGAGCTGAAACCAAGAGTCAGACGCCCAACAGACTGCGCCACCCAGGCGCCCCCGATATTGTCATTTAACTTGTCTCTCAACCCTTTCCATTTTCTGCAAACTGGATGTTAAGCTGAGAGATTTAATCTGAGTCAGGTTTAACATTTTGGCAAGATGTGTCGTAGGAGAAGCTGTGAACTTACTTTTGAGGACGCAGTTCCCTTTACTGTGATGTTGAGCTTCACTGCAGCTAACACTGGTGACAATCTGGCCTCCGTGACAAAGTCCACTCCCCTACAGCCAGCGAGCCATCCAGCACCTTGTGCGTATATTGTTCCCCATCATCCTTTCACCTGTAACACCCAATAGGCTTTATAATGCTTATTGGTGATCACTGCCCAAATCAGTTGTTTCCTTGGCTTTTGCAAAATGGTGATTTTTTAAATTCTCCCTTTCCTTCTAGGTTTTTAAAAATATTTTATTTATTTGAGAGAGAGAGAGTGAGAGAGAGCATGAGAGGGTAGAGGGTCAGAGGGAGAAGCAGACTCCCTGCTGAGCTGGGAGCCTGATGAGGGCTCCTCATCCTGGGACTCCGGGATCATGACCGAACCAAAGGCAGTTGCTCAGCCAACTGAGCCACCCAGGCGCCCCCCTTTCCTTCTAAATTTTTAAGCTAATACTAGGGAGGCAAGACCATCCTTAATTCCTTACTTTTAATTACCAATGTTTCAGAAAGGAGTTGGTCAAGAGCTGCTTCCAATGGTATAATGTGTGCATGTGTTTTAAACTTTCAAATTGGAGCATAATATACATAAAGTGCACAGATTTTTTTTTTAGATTTTATTTTTATTTCTTTTATTTTTTTTTATTTTTATTTTTTTTACAAACCCTTGTGTTGAGGGCTGACTTTCAATAGATCGCAGCGAGGGAGCTGCTCTGCTACGTACGAAACCCCGTAGATTTTATTTTTATTTATTTACTTGAGAGAGAGAAAGTGGGAGCAGAAGGAGAGGGACAGGCAGACTCTACACTGAGTGCAGAGTCCTACGAAGAGCCTGATCTCATGACCTGAGCTGAAATCAAGAGTCGGAGGCTTAACCCACTGAGCCACACAGGCGCCCCAAGTGCACAGATTTTGAATGGAGAGCTCAGGGAATCTTTATATCTATATACCCATGCAATGGGGCACTTGGGTAGCTCAGTTGTTAAGCTGCTGCCTTAGGCTCAGGTCATGATTCCAGGGTCCTGGGATTGAGCCCCGCATTAAGCTCTCTGCTGGGCAGGAGGCCTGCTTCTCCCTCTCCCACTCCCCCCGCTTGTGTTCCCTCTCTTGCTCTCTCTGTCAAATAAATAAAAATCTTTATATACCCATGCAAGCACTATCAGATAAAAAATTTAGAACATTTCTAGCCCACACTGCCTTCCCTGCCACAAAGGCTTATAATGAATATTTGTGATTGAAGAAATGATTTCAGGCTTGGCTGTGCCCATCTTGAGGCTTAGGGATGTCAGGAAGGTGGGGAAATGGGTTGGAGGTGGAAATAGGGCTTCTAGTCCCAACTCCCCACAGGGCTGGCCCTGGGACCTCCACCTGTCTCACAGCAGCTGCAGGGCTGAGTGACTTTGCTCTGCCAGCTGCGATTTATTCTGGACACCTTATGCCTGGAAGTCTCGTGAATTCTTGGGGGGACTTGTCAGGGCTGAGGCGGAGCCGGCAGTTCCAGGCAGATTGGGACTGCTACTGCTTCTCCTCTTCCATCGAGGGTCCCATCCAGGGGCATGAAAGCACACTGGAAAGTCCCAGAAAAGGAGACAGGCTGTCTGGGCTCTGCTGCCTCCAGTTGTGTGGTCCCGAGGGAGCACCTTCCACCTCTGAGAGTCCGTTTGCTTACCTGGCTAGTGGGGGGGAATATATTCCACTTTGCTGAGTTGTTGGGAGGATTTCTTTTCTTTTCTTTTTTTTTTTTAAAGATTTTATTTATTTATTTGACAGAGAGAGAGATAGCGAGAGAGGGAACACAAGCAGGGGGAGTGGGAGAGGGAGAAGCAGGCTTCCCGCTGAGCGGTGAGCCCGATGCGGGGCTGGATGCGGGGCTGGATGCGGGGCTGGATGCGGGGCTGGATGCAGGGCTGGATGCAGGGCTGGATGCAAGGCTGGATGCAGGGCTGGATGCAGGGCTCGATCCCAGGACCCTGGGATCATGACCTGAGCCAAAGGCAGACGCTTACCAACTGAGCCACCCAGGCACCCCTGTTGGGAGGATTTCTGAGGAGTCATTTGGTTACCTGTACTTCTCTGACCTCACCTCCTGACACCTTCCTCTTTGCTCATTCTGCCCCAGCCAGATATTTGTTCCTTCCCCACCTGGCCTTTGCCTCTGCAGTTTCTACCACCTGGGTTTTATGGGGCTTGCTTCCTCCTCACCCACCACTCAGGCTCACTTTGCATGATCAGGAGACACAGGAGACAGCAGCCTCTTATGTTGCTCTTACAGCCCTCATAAACCTGTCTCATGTATTAATTTCACTAATAATTGTGTCTCCCCTAGTAGAATGCAAGGTCTAAGGATTTGTCCGCTTCTTTACTTTTACAACCCGGGCCTTGCACACAAGAAGTGTGAAATTGGTTGAACCAGGAAACAGAAGCTCAGAGATAGAGCCACTTTGTCTCATTGTCACACAGCAGAAGTGGAAATTAGAACCATGGGCTCTGATCTGGTGGAGCCTAGGGCGCAAAATTTGAAGAACGGGGTGCCAAAAAACTCACTGATCAAGATAATATTTTGAAAAATCAAAATTAAAGCAAAAAAAATTCAATGATTAAAATATGTTTTTAAGCAAGTAAAGGACAAGATCCGATCCTGCACTTGCATGACTCACCTCACCTTAATCCCAGTCCCGGCGGATCTTATCTTTATTTAAAATTTCGGTATTTTGCTCTTCATGAATTTTTTTCCCCATTAATTTTGATACTTAAAAAATATCGGAAAAAATATTGGATTAGAGAGCGCCTGGGTGGCTCAGTTGGTTAAGTGACTGCCTTCGGCTCAGGTCTTGATCCTGGAGTCCATGGATCGAGTCCCGCATCGGGCTCCCTGCTCAGCGGGGGGTCTGCTTCTCCCTCTGACCCTCTTCCCTCTCGTGCTCTCTGTCTCTCATTCTCCCTGTCTCAAATAAATAAATAAAATCTTTAAAAAAAAAATATTGGATTAGAATGTCATTTATCTTGATGACTGAGTTTTTGCGCCCGAGGCGCGCTCACCCTAATCTTAACCCGCTTCTGTCTCTTCTCCCCTGCGGAAATTGAAGCGAGGAGGACGGTGTTGGGGAGCGGAATGGCGGGGAGGGCGGTGCAGAGCAGCCCGAGCTCCCCTGGGAGGGGCTGGGTGCCGACCTTTGCTTATCGCCCGCGATAGAAGCCTCTAATTAAATCCTCCGCCTGCGGGAGACCTTTCCCAGAGCCCTCCGCACCGCCTGCGGGGCCGAGATAGCCGCGGCTGTCCCGGCAGCAGTGACCTTTCCCGGCTCGAGAGGGCGGGGAGGCGGGAGCAGGCGCGGAGGCCCGGTCTAGGCAGAGGTGGCCGCGCGCTCGGGGGATGGGACCTGGGATCGAACCCCACCTTGGCTCCCCACGACCATCCCACCACCAGGGGGCAACGAGGGTAGGCGAAGAGCGCTCAGTGACGTCATCGAACCCCTAACCCGGCCCCGCCGCTGACGTCACAGAAGAGCAGAGCACGTCACCGCATTCCTCCCGTGACGTAAGCGCGCGAAGCTAGGAACTGACCCACCGGGGAAGGGAGAAGTCTGAAAGAAGAGAGCTTTCCTTTCTCGCCTTTTATAGTTGGTAAGGCGTTTAAGGTACGCAGAGCGGACTACCATTCCCAGTTGGCCTTGCGTGTCGCGCATGCGCACGGCTCCCAGCTAGAGAGCGCGGCAAACCTTTGGAATAGATTGACGTCCCTTTAGCTGAACCGTAAGGCAGATTTTACAGCAGCAAACCCAATCCCAACCTCACAGACCCCACCCCTTTATTCTTAGGCCGCTGCTTCCTTGCGGGAGTGACGGGTTCTCCTGCCTTTGAGGGTTCAGTTTCCTTTGATGGACAAGCACACCGATGAATCAGAGCGCCGAGAAGTCGAGAGGGTGTTGAAAAGCGTGACTTGGGACCAATAGCTTAGGAGCAGGACCTAGCGCCGTCCAATCACTTCTCTTGGCGCCGCCAATCACCCAGGACTCCGCCCCCGCTCGTGACGTATGTAGGGTGGGTAGCAACAGTTGCCCCGGTGAGGGAAACGGAGGCGCCATAGCCACGGTAGTCGTGGCGACCAAGCAACCCGGCAACGCGAGTCAACAACAACAACCGCCCGGCCGACCCCCACCCCCACCCCCCCTTGCCCGGCCCGGGGACCCCGGCACGTTCCGTCCCCCTCCCAACATCGCCTCCGAGACCTCTGGAAAGCCCTTCTGCGGACAGAAGTAGGAAGAAGCCGAGGTAACCCGGGCGGCCCTGGGGTGGCGGGCCGGGCCAGGGAGGGCGGCGGGGCCGGGGCTGAGGGTGTCGCTGTAATCATAGTCCGGAGGGAAGGGGCGGGCGGTCAAAATGGCGGCGGCGACTGTCGGGGCCGTGGGGGAGGGGGCCGGGGCCCGGCTGGGGCGACACCACCCGCCCCTGGGGTCCGGGGCCCAGCCCCCGCGAGGGGCGGGCGCTAGCAGGCCGGCGGCGAGTGGAGGTCGGCCGGACGGGGCGGGGGGCTTTTATATGTTGGGAGGTACGGAGAGGCGGGCCTGGGGAGGCCGGGCCAATGGGAGCGAGGGAGGGGCGAGGCGGGGCCGAGGTGAGTGGGCGGGGCCAGGTCGTAAGGTGTGGGCGGGGCCGGCGGGCGGCGGGGGGTGCCGGGGAGGAACCGGGTGGGGCAGCTGCCGCCTGGGCCTTGCCGCATCCCAAAGGGATGGGAGGCCACCTGTGCCGCGTCGCTTTCGAAGCCCCCGCTCCCAGTCATTCCCAGTACACACTGTCTGCCACATCTCAGGCCTCAGTTTTCCATCCTGTAAAGTGGGGGAGAATCACTGCTGTCGTCCCTTTTCTGCATTTCAGGGACTCCTAACTCCTTTCAGGAATTTCTCTAGGGCTCATCTTCGAACTTTCTCTAGGGCTCATCTTTGAACTACCCCATGTGCTGTTTTTGAATGCGGTTTGATAAAACAGTTAACTAATCTTGATTTCAGCACTGCTGTCTGCTCCTAAATCTGCCTTCTTCTCTCTGAGAGAAGGCAAAGGGAGTCAAAGTTTCATGGAGAAGCTGTGGGCTGGGAGTATGGCTTTAGCCGGGAGGATTTGGTGTGCAGAAATCAGAGCCCATGGCAGGGAAGGGTGATCTCGGGTGACTCGAGACAGAACAGAAACTTGATTGCTTTTCTGTGGGCTGCTCTCTTAGATCTGGTGTTGTCCCTGGGCAGAGGACTTGTTTCTGGAGCTGGGATGATTTCTAACCATTCTACCCATCACAGTCTCCCTTTCTGGGAACGGGAAGCAAATGGCGCCCGAGGAAGTTTCTTAGATTTCTTAAGCTGCTTCTCTTGGCCAGACACATGTTTTTGTGTCAATCAAGTTGGTGTCAACTGGGTCACATGTCACTGAGGAGGTACCAGCCTCCAGAGCCACGTGGGCAGGAGCGGGACATCAAGATCAGAGGGAAAGGGAAGTGTTCCATGTTTGTTACAGGAGAATCTGAGTGTCTGCTTTGCGGGGCAACAAGATCTGCCAGCTTGGGAAAGAATTTATTTTTTTCAAACAGCCAGCTGGGCCAAGTCCACTTTGTTTATTCTCTGTCTTGCTTTGGAGCTTGGCATCAGCAGAGCAGAGTGGTGGTGTGCAAATTGCAGCCGTTTTCTTTTCAAATCAATAAACTTCAAGGAGAAGGATTGTTTCAGGCTTTCCTAAAGCTTTCAAGAATTTGAGATAAGGTTGGGGGGGTGGGTCTCACTTCTCCAGGGACTTTTTCTAGACCTGGTCCTCTTTGAGAGGTGGCAGGACCCCTTTGAAAGTTAGGGAGGACAGAGATTAGTTTTCAGTACAAATCTGGAAATACCAAGTCTGCCTGAAAGATCATTACCACCTGTTGGAAAGGCAAACTTTGAGCGGAAGGTGATGTTACTGATCATCTAGTCTTGTTAACTGTCTCTCCCCCACCATAACTTTTATATTTGAAGGGCCCAAGCCCAGAGGGCTCTTTTGACGAGGGTAGAGAGCGCTGGTTTGATTTGCTTTTGGAAACAATCACCTGTTTTCTAGCTGTGCCTGTGGATGTGTTAGTTTACTACTCTGGACCTCAGTTTCCCCTAAGCTAGGGGCAGTGATCATTGGTAATAATTTTAAGCTCATATTGCTGTGTTATGGATCCTGTAAAAGAATACATGTTGGGGGCGCCTGGGTGGCTCAGTTGGTTAAGCGACTGCCTTCGGCTCAGGTCATGATCCTGGAGTCGCGGGATCGAGACCCACATCGGGCTCCCTGCTCGGCAGGGAGTCTGCTTCGTCCTCTGACCCTGTCCCCTCTCATGTGTTCTCTCTCTCTCTCATTCTGTCTCTCAAATAAATAAATAAAATCTTAAAAAAAAAAAAAGAATACATGTTGAGCATCAGATACCTAGTAATTGCTCAAACTCTGTTAGCTGCCATTGTTATTCTCATGATTGGCCCTTCCTGCTCAGCCCTCTGAATTACACCACTTGCATTTATTTTTATCATTTTGAATTGGGCGAGAGCCTAGTGGCTTTAAAGGTTGACTCACTTGCTGGGCTGTGTGGGCTGATGACAGAGATGACAGAGATCCCAGAAAGCTGGATACCAGGACTCCAATTTCTAGTGAGAAAATGCCATTCCCCTTGCTCCTGAATAGCCTTTCTGCCGCTTTAGGAGAGTAGCCAAAAAGAAAAATTCTCCTGGGCCTGGGCCCAGACTCAGCTCCAAGGCTTCCAGGAGGCAGCTGGGTGAGCCAGGGGTGTGGGTGTCGTGGGAATGGTGTCTCTGGAGCTGAAGTCCTTGCCTTTCCCTCCCCATACACATCTCAATAGCTCGGGGATGGGCCAGGCGGACTCCCCCAGGGACGCAGCCTGCAGATAGCAACTGCACAGTGCCTAGTACTCTTCTTGGGCTGGGGAGCCCATTCTGGACCAGGGGGCATCGCCCACCCCTGCTGCCATAAGCCTGCTGCTGGCAGAGGCAGGAAGCAGGAACTTGTTCACAATTGGTAGACTCAAACTGGCCTTTGACGCTCATGAGTAGTGTGCTCCTGGCGTGTAGACACATATTTGACAGTAAAAGTTGAGCCTGTACTATGTGCCTGTCTAGGGAGCTGGAGGTAAGGTGATGGGCAAGGCAGGCCGTACTGTGTGCCCATTCTCAGAGCTGGAGATGCAGAGATGGGCAAGGCAGGCTGGGTCTCTGCTCTTGGGGAGCTTGCATTTCTGGTCATGGAGGGAAAGGGAACTATGAATAAGAAAATAAACAGACAAGGAAATACAGGGCCAGGAAGAAAACAAAACAGGAGTATGTGCTTCAGAGTGCTTGGGGTTGGGGGAGGAGAGCACACTCGAGACCCAAGAAGGTGACATATAAGCTGAGATCTGAATGATAAGAAGCAGCCAGCAGTGGAGAATGGGGGTAGAGGTGAGGAGAACATGTCAGTCAGGTGGAAGAGTCTGGTGCAAAGGTCCTGAGGCAGGAGGACGTCTGGAGCATTCTAGGAGCAAGAGCCAGTTTGACTAGAACATTCAAAGTGAGATAGGAAGGACCTTAAGGCCCCATAGCGCTTGGGAAGGGATCTGGATTTTATTTCATCTCTGTGATAAGAGCCATGGAGCCTTCTGAATAGAGGGGTGACAAGATAGGATTTGTGCTTTCAAAGGATCTTACTTTTTTTTTTTTAAATATTTTATTTATTTGAGAGAGAGAGAGAGAGCAGGAGCACAAGGCGGGGGGAGGGGGGAGGGATAGAGGGAGAAGCAGACTCCCTGCTGAGCAGGGAGCCCAGCATGGGGCTCCATCCCAGGACCCTGGGTTCATGACCCGAACCAAAAGCAGATGCTCAACCGACTGAGCCGACTAGGCACCCTCAAAGGATCTTAAGGACTATCGAGGCAAGAGTGGAGCTAGGAGCCAGTAATGAGGGTGTTGCAGGAGTCCAGGCAAGAGAGGAAGACATCTCAGAGTAGAAGGGTGTTGATAAATGTGGAGAGAAGTGTAATACCTCCTTAGGATCTATTTTGAAGGAATCATTGAGAAGTCTTAAAAACTAACTGTGTATAGAAGATGAAGGAAACCCACATCCTTATATTTATTTTCCCTATTCCCAGCAAGTTCCTCATCAAAGCCATTCTACAGATGAGGAAAGGGAGTTTTCTTTCCATTTTCTTTTTTTTTTTTTTAAAGATTTTATTTATTCATTTGAGACACAGAGATACAGAGAGAGAGAGAGAGCATGAGCAGTGGGAGAGGCAGAGGGAGAGGAAGAAGCAGACTCCCTGTTGAGTCAGGAGCCCGATGTGGGACTCGATCCCAGGACCCTGGGATCATGACCTGAGCCGAAGGCAGATGCTTAACCATCTGAGCCACCCAGGCGCCCCTTCTTTCCATTTTCTTAGGAGGGCCTTTCCAAGACGTAAACCATTTGGTTATAGAATCTGGAATCCAAACCAGAAGTCAGCAAACTATGGCTATCACCTGGTTTTGCATGGCCTGTGAATTTGCATGATTTTTTATGCTTTTTTTTTTTTTAAGATTTTATTTATTTATTTGAGAGAGAGAATGAAAGAGAGCACAAGAGGGGGGAGGGTCAGAGGGAGAAGTGGACTCCCCGCTGAGCAGGGAGCCTGATGCGGGACTCGATCCTGGGACTCCAGGATCATGACCTGAGCTGAGGGCAGTCGCTCAACCAACTGAGCCACCCAGGCGCCCGATTTTTTATGCTTTTAAATGATGGGGGAAGAAATTACAAGAAGAAAATTTTGTGGCCCGAATAAAATGTCAGGACATGTGATACTATATGAAATTCAAATCTCGGTGTCTATAAATAAAGTTTTATTAGCACATAGCCATGCTCGTTTGTTTAAATATTATCTATGGCTGCTGTCACACTGCAGTGGCAGAGTTGAGTAGTTGCAACAGAGGCTGTCTGCCCTCAAAGCCAAAAATGTTGGCTGTGGCCCTTTACAGAAGTTTGCTGGCCCCTGACCTGAGGTAATTGATTCAAACATTCTCCAAAAACAGCTGTTGGCTTTGAAGTTAGGTGCAGCCATTGGTGCTTTTCTTGGCAGTTTCATTGCCAAGGAACAGATTTGCTGAGCGATTCCCTTGTTTCATGTGCCCTGCTCTGTAAAGGAAGGGATCTCATGCTGTTTATATTTGTGACTTATTTCTCTCTAGAGAGCACCCTGCAGAGCTCTGCTTGTCCTAGTCATCCACAAATGGAAAGAAAAGGGCTCCCTGGTCGACGAATAATTGTGGGACACTTGGTATCCTGTATTGCCCTTCCTAGAGATTGACAATGACGGTGCTGAGAAGGCCTCCAATAGAGAAGTGGGTTTAACTGTTTCATTAATCTTCCCTTCACCTTTTCCAGCTTGGCCTTTCAGCCTTCGCTGTCACCTCCTTCCCCTGCCCCTGAGTGGAAGGAATGGGGCCTGTGGGCTTTGCACCTCAAGGAGGAGAAAGCACCCTGCAAGTGTGGAGCTTTTAAAGCCCTTTCCTGGGGCGCCTGCATGGCTCTGTTGTTAAGTGCCTGCCTTTGGCTCGGGTCACGATCCCAGGGTCCTGGGATCGAGCCCCGTGTCGGGCCCTCTGCTCGGTGGGAAGCCTGCTTCTCCCTCTCCCCCTCCCCCTGCCTGTGTTCCCTTTCTCACTGTGTCTCTCTCTGTCAAATAAATAAATAAAATCTTTAAAAAAAAAAAAAGCCCTTTCCTTGCGGGAGGTACCATAGGAGCAAGCTCTGCTAGGGCCCAGAAAGCCCAGGCCAGGGTTTCTCAGAGAGTTCTCCCAGGGCCAACGGGCTCAGAATCATCCCAAAGGAGAGTTAGCTCAAACAGCAGACTCTGGGACCATCCCAGACTCCCTGGGCACTGGTGCCCAGGAACCTGCATTTAACTAGCTCCCCAGATGATGCTGATGAACACCAGGGTTGGATTCCCCCTGGGCACCTCCTTCTAAGAGCCTGAGGAATGTGTGTGTCTCTCCTGCCCCCACCCTTCTCCATCTCCACTTGGCACCGGTATTTGTTCAGTGACAAGATAATAGAGGCTTCCACATCCCAGTGCTTACTGGGTGCTGGGCTTGTCTTGTCAGATCGTTACGGCAGCCCTATGAATTGGTGTCCTCATCATCCCCAGTACAGGTGGGGAAACTGAGGCCCAGAGGAAGGTCAGTAATGTGTCTGCGAATGAAGAGACAGGTCAGGGTTTATGTTGAGGTGGGTCTGACACCATGCAGATGGACAGCAGTCAGCTGCGGTGACCCCAGCCCCTACACTGGGCCAGAGTTTGGACCCAGTGGTGTGAGGAGCCCCCAGGAGGCAGCCCCTCTGATGCTGGCAGGAGGGAGTTTGGGAGGGCATGGGCTGGGGGAGAGCGACTTTTTCTTGTGTGTGGCAGGTGTTTAATCTCTGTGGGTAGGGCCCAGGTCTCCTGGTCTGAAAAACAGGGAAGATGCTACCTACTGAGTATGAGAAATAAACAAGCCCCGTGCCTGGCTCCCTGAGTAGGGCTCGGGGCTAAGAGCATACATCTGGAGGTCAGAGAGACCTGGGTTCAAGTCCTCTTCTTACCAGTTGCTGGGCACCCTTCGCGTGGTTTTGCTCATCTGTAAGCTGGCCGTGGTGGTTCCTCCCGCATGGGGCTGCTGTGCAGAGGTGAGCACAGCAGATGCTCCTGGGGCTTCTGGTCAACCAGCAGCAGTTGCTTCTCCCACCCCCTTCTGCTTGCAAATCCCACTCTCGGTCACCAGTGGCTGGAGGGCCGCCTGCTGGCGCGCGATGGCACACAGGTGCCCCAGGGTTAGTGCAGAAGAGCCTCTGGTTCAGTGGCCTGGAGTGCCCGCGAGCGTCACAGGCGACTGACCGCAGGCAGGTCCAACTCAAATACTTCCCTGGGCCAGGCAGGGGCCATGGAGGTATGGGGGCTGGAGCTCCGCCTCTTCATCACTCTAGTGTTTCTTCCGCCGTCCTCAGTCGCTCGGGAGTTGGGGATGGCACCCATTAGTGTGGGCAGCGGGGAAACCATTTGCTCATCTTCTGATGAGGTGGGGCCGGGTGAGAGGGAGGGTGGCGCTAGCACGGGGAGGGGGGCCGTGAGCTAGAAGGGACAGAGCTCAGCAAGAGGGACGGGGTGCTTAGCCCAGTACCTGGAAGAGGGAGCACGACCCTTGAGCAGCCAGAAAAGCTGCCTCCGCCTGGTTGGGCCGGCCCCATTCTGTGGCCAGGGCTCGCTCTCAGCCCAGGGCCCCTGGACTCAGACTGGCACTCTTCCTGTGATGAGCCCCCATCTGGTGTCGTAACCCAGTATGGTCCGTTCAGGCCTGAAAGCCCCTGAGGCCACAGGCTGCTCTAAGGGCTTTTTGGACTCAAACACCTTCCCCTTTCTGGTACCCCACTGGGAATGATCCTCAGCCAAGAATCCCAGCCGAGATAGCAGGCATGTAAGGAACTGGGACAGGCTGGCCTGGAGACCGCTTTCCCCAGACTTTACCTTCCAGCAGTTAGCCAACTACTCAAGTGCTCAGAATGCCCAGGATTCAGCCTCAGCCTGCTGTGTGGCCTGGGGCAAGCTCCTCAACCTCTGTGAGCCTCAGCTCCTCATCTGGCAGAGCAAACTCAAACCCAGACACGGTTGTTGCAAAGTTTAAAATGAAATAATGTAGAGAAAGCACTCAGCACAGTGCCCGGTCTGCAGGAGCCCTCAGGAGAAATGCACCATTTGACCCCACCCTCCCCGGCCCCCCCCTTGACGCAGGGGTCCCCCAGGCACCAGGGGCTGAAGGAAGAAGGCAGAAGTCCTGAACAGGGGTGAATGGAAGAGGCGTAGACCAGCCTCAGTCCATAACCAGTTCCCCTGCAGTGATGGGTTCATTGTATCTGGCCACCAGCCTCGATTTAATTAAGTTAGTGAGGAACCTAAACGTGTCTCTAGGGAGCCAGGAACTGTCCCTGGTTTCCTCTGCTTGTGGATTAATTCTTGTTTTTCCTTCTTTTGTTTTTTTTTCTGTTTCCCTCCTCCTCTTCTTCTTCCCAAGGAAGAAAAAAAAAAGCCTTATTTATTATCATTTTCCCCACTGTTGGCATGGCAACACCAGCGTACGTTACTGAGCTACAGGCAGCCCCGCAACCATCCCAGCCACCACAGGCCCCGCCCCAGCCACCGCCGCCGCCCCCAGCGGCGCCCCAGCCCCCCCAGCCGCCTGCCACCGCTGCTACCCCCCAGCCCCAATATGTCACTGAGTTGCAGAGCCCCCAGCCCCAGGCACAGCCCCCAGGCAGCCAGAAGCAGTACGTGACGGAGCTCCCGGCCACCCCCACGCCCCCGCAGCCGGCCGGCGCACCCACCCCGTCCCCGGCGTCCCAGCAGTACATCGTGGTCACTGTCTCCGGTAAGTGGACATGCGCTTGCAGCCAGGGTGCTCCGCGAACAACTCGGAGAGGAGTTTGGGGAGCCCGGCATCCTGGATGTGCGCGGGGGGCACAGTGACTGAAGCTCTGTCTGTGCCTGTCACCACAGCAGCTTTCAAACTTGCTGGGGTTCCCCGGTGGGACTTGGGGGGTGTTTCTGGGGAAGGAGTCGTCAGGCCAAGCAATGAGGCTTCTGTCCACCTAAACTCCTTCCCACCAGGGCAGCTCATAGGGCTGTTTCTGTCTCTGTCCCCAAGTCAACTGCCATTTGAGGAAAGGACTGGGTGGTGGACTTAAAGTTCGCAAACATCTCTTGGAGATGGAGGGTGAGCACCTGGCCGCTGCACTCCTGGCCTGGCCTCGTTTCTCACCGGTTCAGCCTGTTTCCTCATCCACAGAGGGCTGGTAACAGCTTCGTGAGCTCAGGGGATACATGTGAGGTGTTCACGGAGGCATTTCAGGGAGGTCAGCTGGGAGGCCTCCCCGGAGGTGTAACCTTTTTGGTTCTGGCAGGACCCAGGGGCTGAGGGAGGCCGTTGGTTGGGCAATTTCGTGATCATGTGGGCAAGGACCTCTGTTTCTCACTGTGGTCTACCCTTATGGCCGTGGAGAAAGTGACCAGGGGGCTCAGGTCGTGGCATCTGTGATTCTTGCCTAGACCATCTTCCCCAAGCCCCAGTTCCCTCCAGGATGGAGACGGGCCGAGCAGAAGGAACTGGGAGCAGAGGGTCAGGACAGGTAGTCATTCCCCTGAGAAGGCGGAGCTCAGACCAGGACTGGGCATCATTTGTGGTTTCCAGTGTGCTCAGTGGAGGAGGGAGGATGTGGTGAACCCCTCCCTCCCCCTGCCCAATCCTTCCAGAGTGGAAAATAAGGAAGGGATGGGAATCATAAAGGCATCTTGGGAGGCTGTGAAAGGGGCAGGTCAAGACTGGGTTTAGGAAGATAGGACAATATAGAGTGACACATGGCAACTGACATGGCCCCAAGGGACCAGAACAGGTGTAGGCGGGGCCCTGAGCAGCATCCTTTAGGCTCCTGGCAGTGTGGAGGTCCCCAGAGAGGGCTCAGGGTGGTGACGCTTTACCACAGGGACTCGTCTGGAGGGATGTCACGTGAGAGCCACACTGAGAACCCCAGCCATGGACGTAGCCAGGGTCTCCCGCGGGTTCCCAGCACTGCCCAGTTATCCTGCTAGGTTTTCTCACCAGCATGCCCCCCCCCCGCCGCAAGAAACCCACCCCCACCTCCATCGTCTTGTCTCATTCTGCACTCCTTACCCCTGACCTCGCTGCCTACCTCACTGGGGACAGGTGCCACCACATATCAAGAAGGATCCCATCTCCCCCGAGCCAGCCTCACAGCTCCCAGGGTTGTCTGCAGCCACTGGCGCTGTGAGTCCCAGGCCATCCCCTCCAGGGCCTCGTTACTTGGTCCCTCTCTTTACAAATCTTTCCCACCAGCCTGCAGAGATGAAACAGTTCCTGATTTAATCAGAAATCTCAGTTCCCATACCCCTTCAGCTGCTGCCCACGTCTTCACTTCCTTTTAAGTCAGAATTCCTTGAAGGATTCACCCTCCCTTCCTTAACTGGTGCTCTCCCCTCTGTTGCCTCTGCCTTCCCCCCACCCAGCGCCCCAGTCGGAGTCACCCACAGCCCCCATCTTGTCCGCCTGCTGGTCACTCTTGGTACTCCTCTTCCTCCGGCCCTGGGAAGCGCCTGACACACTGGTCCCCTTCCTCCCTTCTCCGCCCCCTTTGCTGCTTCCTCCTCATCTCCCTTCATGGTGGCCTATTCCACTGTCTCAGCTTTCCCTGCCCCCTTGGTGCTAACAACATGCCCGCGTTGTGGCCTGTGCCCTGGGCTATCGCCCTGAACCCCAGCCACCTTTGACCCATCTGCTCAGGATTGAATGGGCCTCTCAAGCCAGCATGGCCAAATGGAACCCTGGATTTTCCCCTCATCCGGTCCACCCTCTTTTGAGACTTCTTCATCCTAATAAATACCACCCCCAGTCCTGGGTCAGCATGGATTCCTGTCTTACCCATTCTTGAGCAAGACCTCTTGGCTCCATCTCCTACATGCTGCCAGAACCCACCGCCTCTCCCACCTCCACGGCCCCTACCCTGGTCCAGCCTCTGCCCTCGCCGGTCACAGTCCACCCCCGCAGCGACCAAGAGGGAGCCCATCACAACCCAGTTCAACCCAGAAGATTCTGAGGCAGGTGGCCCTGGGGACACTCTCTGAGAAGCCCTGACCTTGGCTTTCTCATCTGAGGAGAGCTGGCCCCCTGTGGCCCCTCCCACAAGGGAAGGGCTTTAAAAACTCCACACTTCCTGTATCCCCCCTGCTGACAATTTCCTGGCCTCCCAACTCTGGTCTGGGAGGCCCGCCAGCCTCCCGGCACCCCCCGCGCCCCCGCCCCCCCGCCCCCTCCCACACCTGCTCCAGCCCTGCTGGCCTTCCCGCAGCTCCAAAACCCACAAGGCTCAGTCTGGCCCGCAGGTTTTTGCACTCGCGGTGCCCTCTGCCTGGAGCACTCCCGTCCCAGACCTCCTGGTGGCTCGTCCCTTGTGTTCTGGTGTCGGTTCAGTGCCACCTCCCTGATGCCCACACCTCCCCACCTCCACTGCTCACTCCCTGTGTCCTCACTTTGCTTTGTTTTTCTTCTTCTTCTTTTTTTTTTTAAAGATTATTTATTTATTTATTTGAGAGAGAGAGAATGAGAGACAGAGAGTATGAGAGGGAAGAGGGTCAGAGGGAGAAGCAGACCCCCCGCCGAGCAGGGAGCCCGATGCGGGACTCGATCCCGGGACTCCAGGATCATGACCTGAGCCGAAGGCAGTCGCTTAACCAACTGAGCCACCCAGGCGCCCTGCTTTGTTTTTCTTCTTAACACTCATTATCACCTGAAGTGATGACGAGCGCAGTGATGTCCATCCCCTTGTCCCTGAGGGCAGGGCTCTGTACACTGCGTCTCTGTGGCATGAACGCCCATGCGAAGGCTGGCCTGACCCATCACAGCCCTCCCAGTCTGTCGGCCCTGGGCAGCTAGGAGCAGGTGGGAGGCCTTGCCTGCACTGGCTAGAGGACTTTGGCCAGCCTCCAGGGCATCCGATTGGCCCTCGACCTCCCGGGTGCTGGCTTTGGCTGCTTTGGGGGGGCCGGGGTCCTCAGGGCAAGGGTCTGGAAAAGGCACATGGCTCCAGGCCCCAGAGCACCCCAACTCCTGGCACATTCCTCGCCCCCCCTCAGCCTCTCCAGCTCTTCCTGGTGCATGCCCAGGCAGTCCCTGGGGCTTACAGGCCAAGGCCTTTGTCCCCCGCCGCCCCCGTCCGATCCCCCATTGCACTGTGGGGCTGCTCTGTGGGGGTGGGCTGCAGTGAATGGCCTGCTGGTGTGACTCTCGGATTCCTTCTTTGGTCTTGTGGCACCTTGATGGTCTTTCACAGGGGTCCTGGGGACTTTCTTTTCCCTGCTGCTCCCTGTTCTGGTGGCAGTGAGGCTGTCCCCCGGAGGGTGACTGGGTGATGCTTCCTCAATCTGTTCTGAGGAAGAGGGGGTTGGCTGCACCTGTCACTCTACTTGCTGCCCCATTGACCCCTCCCCCATCCCCTTGCAGTGATTTCCCAGCGCTTCTCCATGACCCTCTCCTGGGTTAGTGTCCCTTTCCATCTAAGGGTGGCCTTTGGGCCACTTGAGCCCGTCCCAGGCATGGCGGGGGTCGGGGAGGTACCTGAGACCAGTAAAGGCGCCTGGGGCTCCTCCAGAGCAGAGCAATCTGAGCTGACCAGGGACCCAGGGAGACGCAGGGAGGAGATGGGCGGGGGGTGGTGGGGGGAGGGGGGGGCTGGACCCAACCTGGAGCCCAGGCTAGAATCTGGCTGAGAATGACACCACAGGCAGCTCGTCCAGCCCAATCCCTGTGGGCTCTGCCCTGAGGTGTCTGTGGAGGTGATGGGAAGGCAGCTCAAGTTTCCCTGCTCAGCAACAGCCCTCTAGATCGGAAGTCCCTGTCCTCACAGTCTGTCAGCCTCTCGCCCGACACTCGAGGTGTAAGGAGGGCACTGTGGGTCCTGGCAGCCACCCCCAGGAAGGTGAAACCAAGCCTGCCCGCAGCTGACAGGGCTGGGCTCAAGGAGCGTCTGGGGCCAGCCTTCCTTCCCTGCTTCTCTCACACTTGGAGTCTTTGCGAGTCCAGCACGGCTTGTGTCCGTGAGAGAGATGGGGGTGGGGGGTGTTTGTCAGCATCTCCAAGCACAGATGGGGAAACCAAGGTCAGGACAGACAAGGGACCCAGGACGCACAGGCCCCCCTCAGGAGCCCCGGACTGAAGTCACCTCCAGGAACAAAGGATCAGGAGGGAGGGAGCCAGACTGCCCCGCCCATCGTCCCTGAGGAGTAGGGTCCCAGCTCGTAATCAGGCCTCTCGGCCTTCTCTCAGTCTTCCCCCTCATAGCTCACAGCATTGGAGATGTGAGCGGGTCTCAGTGGGGAAGTGCAGGGCCCAGGGAGGAAGAGATGCTCATCAGATTGAGGGACAGGAAATCAGCTGCCACTTCCTGACTACAGACTTGAGACTGGGGCCCTCCCTGGTCTCATGCACATGCCCAGCATGGAGAAGGCAGACAGACAGATGCAGAGGCTCGCAGACTTCATACCCCAACCCCCAACACACACACACACACACACACACACAGAGCAAGGGCAAGACACGGGTAGACAGGGACACACACACACAGGAAGCCTCTCATCCAGACGGTAGACTCTGGAATCTCACCTGCTTATCCTCATGGTACAGCCCGACATGCCTGGCAGATGTGGGGATCCCAGCCTTGAGGGCCATCCCAGACTGTTTCCTGGGGCTTCCCCATCCCAGGCAGATCCCTGATCTCAGCAGGTCCCCAGGCCTCCCAAATACTAAGGGTCCCACTGACGGAAGGATCAGCCTTGGTGTTTTCATCTGAGCCTCTGGGCCTAGGAGGTAGCTGGGGCCAGCCCCCCACTCACTGCCCACCCTGAACTAGGCAAAACCTGCCCGAGGCTGCCGCAGTTGGGTGCCATTCCTTGGGCTGGGCCTGGCTCCCTGTGTCCCACAGACACCCAGGTGTGCTGGGGCCCCTCACGTGACTTAGGGCTTTCTCAGGTTTCTCCCCAGGGGCCCATCTCAGTGAGGGCTACCTCCCTCACTGCTCACAGAAGCCTAAGTGGGTGCAAGGGAAGATTCTAGCCAAACGTAGGAAATGGTGTCTCCTGGAATTGGCTGCGGAGGCAGCTGGCCAAGTAGGCCTGAGGTGGTTCCAGTGCCTGTCCCACATGTGGCCAATGGGAGGCTTCCTCCAACACCACCTCCCGCATCTGGCCACCACTCCCCCTACACCCAGTACATAACACATTCATGAGCTCTGACCCAGACTTGGTCCCTGAGATTCTTGCATCTACCTGGGACTGCCCTTCTGCCCTGGCCAGGCCCCTCTCCCTGTGTCCCCACATAGCTGAGGCCCAGCTCCTCACTTTGGAGGGTGAGGATGCTCTGGTCCTTACGGCGTTCCCATAGATCCTCACCTTACTGTTCACCACTGCCCTTGGGGTGTCAGCCCAAGCATGACCTGAAGCTCTAGATTCCATGCACAATGTGAGGTTTATGTGGGCACAGATAATGGGCCAGAATCCTGGCTTGTCAGTTCCCAGCTGGGCAGATCACTTCCTCTCTCCCAGTCTCTCGCCTTATCCGATAATGGGGGTAATAAAAGTTCCTTCTGTCTCCAACTACCCAGGAAGACCCTAGCACAGCAGCTGGGGCACTGGAAGCACTCTAGTCACTCCTATTACTCCTTGCCCACCACCCTCCTGTCCTGCCAGGGGACCCCCCAGGAGGTGGCACTGGGACCTTGGCTCCTGGTAGCACATTGGAGGAAGGGCAGGCACATATGCTCCCCACAGCCCCAACCTGGCCTCTGGAACTGCTGGGAGCAAGCCAGGACACACGGAAGGGGCAGGATGAATGGTGTCCTGGCTGGGGTGGGGGGCCTCCCATCCAGCGTCTCTCAGGGACACTTGCCCTCTGTGCCTCTCCCCTTCTCAGCTCCCTTGTTAATCACTCAGTGAGATGTGCATGAAACTTGACCTGTGCCCGCCCAATAGTATCTCCGGGTACCAGCCTCCCTCCTGACTTCATAGCAAGGCCCCAGCCCAGAGAAGGCCCTGCTTCGGCCGTGCCTGCTCAGAGGAGAGTGTTTATTCCAAGAGGGCAGCTGGGGAGCTCTGCATCCACCGGGGGGATTAGCTCCCCAAGGTTGCGGGTATAAAGCCGCCCACGTACCCTGCTGTTCCCAAAGAGGTGGGCAAGGAGTGAGGAGTGTGGGGCAGGTTTCCCTAGATAGACGGGGGCAGGAGGGAGGTAGGGGCACCATGTTCTACGATTGCCGCTTCTCGGCTGCCTGTCAGCGTGAGTACCTGCCTGCCCCCCTCCCAGCCCCCTCCTGCCCCCATCCCACTGAGGACAGGGAAGCTGGGACAGTGGGGAGGGAGGGGGTGCTTGGCCACAGGCTGGCAAGGCCTTCTAGGGTCACTCTTCTGACCACCTTCTATTCCTGGGAAGCCAGGAGTCATCTTGAAGAAGGTGGCCCCAGCACCTTGGTCCTTCTAGGGCTGCTGAGACCCCAGGGTAGGAGGCCAGTTCCACAAATCCTATCTGTTGGGAAAAGGGATCCAGCCCTCCGGGCCTCTGCTGCATCTGCTCCTCAGTCACCCCTTCTGGTCTGGCTTTGGGACGAGGAGAGGTGGGGTGGGGTGGGGCTGCTTCTGCATGTCAAGGATCCTAGGGCCTTATGGCTCACCCCAGTGGGCAGTGTCAGGGCCGGCCAGGAGGCAGGCAGGATTGTTGGAGAGGCCCGGCCCTGTCAGGGATCCGCTTCAGGCTCCACCGTCCATTCTCATGGGCTCGGGCTCAGGCTCAGGGTGGGGGTGGGGACAGCAGGCGGAGCTGACCCAGTGACCCCTCCTCCAGAAGGCGCTATGCGGGCCAGTGAGACTGTATCGGAGGCCAGCCCAGGCTCCACAGCCAGCCAGACCGGAGTCCCCACTCAGGTGGTTCAGCAGGTGCAGGGCACCCAGCAGGTAGGATACACTCCTCCCCCGGGGGCGGGTTGGGAGGGTACATGAGAGGGGCAGCGGTGACCGTGGCCATGGGAACTTGGCCTCCCGTCCTGCCCCGCTGCCAGAGCCGTCTGCTCCCATGTTCTTACCAAGCTGTTCACTTCAGCCACCCTCCACCCACCTGGGCCAGGCCTCCCCGGGGAAGCTGGCATGGCTCAGGTCCTTACTCCTTGCCCCTACAGCGTCTGCTGGTCCAGACGAGCGTGCAGGCCAAGCCGGGCCACGTGTCACCCCTCCAGCTCACCAACATCCCAGTGCCCCAGCAGGTAAGGCTGCCACACCCGGCCCAGCCCTCACAGCCTCCCCCAGGGGGCACAGCCAACTCCCTGTGGCCTGCTCAGATCTGCCCTCACCAGCAGCAAGGACATAGGCTCCGTCTGGGGGCCTCTGCGCCTGCTGCCTCCAGCGAGTGAGACCATGGCAGTCAGGGCCCATCGGGGAAGGACCACCTGCATGAGTTCTCTTAATAGACACAACTGAGGAGTTGCAGTAAGGAAGGTGACTTTCAGGTCCAGCCCGTGTCTCAAAGCAGAGAACCCCTGCCAGTTAGGAGCCAGGAGCCCGTAGCTAGCACAGGGACTGAGTGCGTGGCAGTGGTCTGTTCCCCAGAAGGCTGTGAGCAGGGTGGGGGGGCTCAGCACAGAACGGGGCAAAGTCCTGTCAGGCTTCAAGGGTGGGAGCCGATTCCGCATGGCCTGTGGAGCCAGGCTCCCTGGACACAGACCCTCGCTCTGCCACTTGCTGGTTCCAGGACCTCGGGCGAGGACTCTGGCCATCCTGAGTCTCTCTGTCACCGTCTGTGAAGTGGGGTTGGTGTCAGTGCTGTACTGGGACTGTTGGGGCAGTTCCGGGAGCTAACAGGTGTGTGGCACTAGGACATCGCCTGGTACGGTGCCAGATGCTCAGGAAAGCCGGGCGAGCTGTTGTGAGTCAACTGTGGTCCTTTTCCCTCCTGGCTCTAGGCTCTCCCCACGCAGCGTCTGGTGGTGCAGAGCACAGCCCCAGGCGGCAAGGGTGGCCAGGTTTCCCTGACGGTGCATGGCCCCCAGCAGGTGCACTCACCCCCTGAGGTAGGTCGTGGCCCCATCAGCTGCCCTCCCTGAACCTCTCTCCCCAGGTTGGCCATGTACCCCCAGAGTATACTTGGAGGGGTCCCTGCCCCCCAAGCCCACTTGCTCCTCCAGAGTCCTTGTTCAGCCCAGGTTGGGTAGCTTGGCTGCCTGATTCATGGCCCCGCTGGCTCCAGGAGGAGGAGGTAGCTTCCCCCCCAGGTTGAGATGGGCCTCACAGCTCCACTTCAGGACTCTGTATCCCAGGAAGGAAAGGAGGCCCCCCAGCCCCGCTTAGGGCTGGTAGAGGCTCTTCCTCAGACTACAAGGGTGGGTTCTGGGGACCTGCCCCCCGACACCAACGAGGGTGTTGGAGGCAAGCAGACCATGGGTGGCTGGGAGCATGGGTGGCAGCATCAGGAGCTTGGGGTCAGACCCCCAGCTCAGCCGTTCTTCCTGGGGGACTCTGGCCAGGCCCGTGGGGCCTTCTGAGCCCAGTGTTTTCTATGTGTAAAACAGCTAATGATACGAAGTGCCACAGCATGGCCCAGAGCCAACAGGGACCTGTAGCCAGTCCGGGGTCAGTGCCTGGCGCTACCACTCAGCTGTGTGGCCTTGGGACGTCCCTTCCCATCTGTGCTTTAGCAACCTCATCTGTTACGTGGGGATTCCCTCACCTAACCCTCCTCACCTCAGGGCTGCAGTCTCTCTGATTGTGGAGGCAACGGGTGACCTCTGAGCTGAGGCCATCTTCGCTGGGGAGGATGGGTCCCCCTACCAGTACCTCTGGGCCGGATCCCCAGCTTTGCCTGGGAGCGATCGGGGCAGGGACTAGGCATTCGGGTTCATGGGATTCGGCCAGTTACCAACCTAGGAGGTTGAGACCTCTACGGCCTGCCACCCTCCCCAAACAGCTCTTGGGAGAGCCCTCCTGAAAAGGGTTTTGTCAGGGCCTGGGTGCCCAGACGACGCCCCCATGTCTCCTTCCCTTGCAGCGGTCACCGGTGCAGGCCAACAGCTCCTCCAGCAAGACGGCTGGGGCCCCCACGGGCACAGTGCCACAGCAGCTGCAGGTCCATGGCGTTCAGCAGAGTGTCCCCGTCACCCAAGAGGTGCCAGGCCAAGGCGGGCAGTGGCTGGGGCAAGGGGTCCTGGCCAGGCAGCCTCTGCAGCGTCCTTGACTGTCTGTGGGAGCCAAGCAGATGGGGGTATAGCCTCAGCAGGCCCCCCGGGCCTTTGGCAAGCGCCTCTTCCTCACTCCAGACTCAGCATCCTTGTCTAAATAATGGCTTCTGCCCTGGGAGCCTGGGGGCAGGGTGGTCGGGGCTGCTGGGGGATGAAATCTGGTCCTCACGGGTGCTGGACAGGCGCTGAAAACTCTGAGAAACAACCTGGCCTCTTTGGGCCCAGTTGCCTGGAGGAAGCCCCAAGGCCAAGTCCTGGCTTACCCCTAAGGAGCTCAGGGGGAGGCCCAAGCTCCAAATCCACGGCCAGCCTTTGGGAGGGGCAGAGGCTCTTCCTCAGACTACAGGGTGGATTCTGGGGACCCCCAGAGGCTATTGCTCTGAGCTGTCAGTGATGGCAGCTGGAGCAGGTGAAGTGGCAAGGGGTGTCTGCCATCTGGTTGTTATCACTCCAGTTGCGGGGTTCCAAACTCCTTGGAAAACCAGATGAAAGCCATAGACTCTTCCCCTAAAGGAAAGCAGAAACGTCACTCTGAAGGATTCACAGATGTTCCTGCTGCGTACCACAGACCCTCGGACCATCCAGGCCTGGGTTTGAGTTCTAATCCACCACTCAGCACCAGCCCCCCACCCCACCCCAGCGTCTGTCCTTCACTGTGTGCCCTGAGGGTGATATCAGGATCTCCGAAGCACCATGGATGTGGGGGTGTGGGATAACCCATGGAGAGAGCAAGGGGGGACAGCAAGGACTCCCTCACTCAGACCCAAGTTCAACTTCAGTTCTGACACTTCCTGTTGGCCTCACTTTGATGAGCCTCTGTTCACATGGGTAACTGGGTGCCCAGAGTGAACATAGCGATGAATCTAAAAGGGCGAGCAGGGAAAAGCTGCAGAATGGTGGCTTCTTTCTCACCAGGCTGCCCTGACGCTTACATGGGTTCCTGTGGGCATGGGGCGGGGGAGACTCGGGGATGGGTGGGCCACCAGGGGCACCACGGTCACCACAGTCTGACCTGCCTTTTCCCTCCTCAGAGGTCCGTGGTCCAAGCCACTCCACAGGCGCCCAAAGCCGGCCCCGTGCAGCAGCTCACGGTGCAGGGGCTCCCGCCAGTTCACGTGGCTCAAGAGGTGCGTGCCTCCTCCACCTGCCTCTGGGCAAACTGGGACTGGGCCCGGGCTGGGCTGGGGAGGGGTGCAGGCCCTTCAGGCCGCGGGGAGGGAATGGAGCTGGGGATCCTCGAGGGCCCCAGCCCCGCTCCAGGCTCCACCTGGGGCTGTGGGCTGCAGACTCGGTCTTGGAGCCTTCCCACTTTCCCCACCCCCGGGCACCTGTCAGTTCAAGGGCCCAGGTTTTGCTAAGAGAGGGATCTGGATTCTCCCCTCCCAGAGACACCGGGTGGGAGACCTGTCGGGTTGCTGGTGAGCTCAGCGACCCGGTGGGCTGGGCGGCGGAGGCCTGGCGCCCCGCCCGCGGCCGCCCCCGGTGACCCCCCAGTGTCTCTGTTTGTCCTCCAGAGCTCAGGCAGTCAGTTTCCCGCTAGGAAGGCAGAGCAGCAGGAGCCCCGGCCCACGCCGCCGCCGGAGCCGCCGCCCCGGCCACGCACGCCCGGGCCCCGGCCGAGCGCGCTGGCCCCGGAGCCGCCGCCGCTCCCGCCCGCGTGCAGCGGCGAGGTCCCGCAGCTAGGCAGCCCCGAGCCGCCGCCGCCCCATTACGAGCCGGGCGCCGAGCAGTGGGTGGAGCTGGTGGGCGTGCTGCCCCCGCACCTGCTCCTGCCGCAGCAGAAAGTGGTCTTCGAGCCACTGCCCGGGCTCCCGGCCCGAGCCAGCCCCGACCAGAGGGTCAGGATCCAGAGAGTCCCCCAGGTGCTAGTGTTCGGCACGGCCGCCACGGCCCTCAAAGTAGGTGGCGGACGTACGGGCGGGGGGCATCGGGCGGGCGGGGGCGGGATCCGCCGGCCCCGGCCCGCGCCCGGCCCCGGGCTGCCCGTCAGGCCCTGCAAGCCCTGAAGCCCCCTCCCCCGCACCTCGGCGCGGCCAGTCTGGGGACCCGCCTCTGACCCCACCCCCACCCCCAAGGCGGGTTCCAGGTCCCGGGCTCCGCTCCCACAGACGGGTGGGGGGATGGGGTGGGAAACTCAGGCCCCGCCCCTGAGGCCCTGTCAGTCATTCCAGGTTCCGTCCCCCAAACCGGGGCCCCACCCCTGACCTCTGACTCCGCCCCTAACATCCTGTACTTAGTTTCCAGGCCGCGCCCCTGCAGACAGGGATCCTTCCCTTGATGCAGGCTCCACCCGCGAGGCCCTGTTTGTACGCAGTTTCAGGCTTTAACTTTAGCTTTAGTGACAGCCTTGTCCCAGTGGTTGGCTCTACTCCTGGGATCCAACGTTCACACCCGCAGTAGGACTCTGGGGTCCCTCAGCCCTCCTCACCTCAGGCCCCACTCTTGCTGTCCCCAGCCTAAGCACAGAGTCTTGGCTTCTCCTGACACAGCTTCGCCTGATTCCCAGCCCTGGCTGAGACTGCAGCCCTTGGGCCTCTGACCCCTGGCCCTGTCCAGGATGTGTCCAGAAAGCCCAGAAATGCAACCTTCCAGCCGGGGAGCCAGGCATCCTTGTGAGCTTGGACAGCCACCGGCCCTTTAGGGACAGAGGCAGAGAAGTGGGCCCACCCCTGACCTTCTGTGTGCCCTCCCCCCACACCAGGTGCAGCAGCTCCAGCAGGTGCCTGTCCCACACGTGTACTCCAGCCAAGTGCAGTATGTGGAGGGCGGTGACGCCAGCTACACGGCCAGTGCGATGTGAGTGGGCAGAGGGCTGTGGGAGGGGACAGCAGGTGAGATCTAGGTCTGCCCAGGACCCTGCTAGGACTTGAGGCCTGAGTCCGAGCCCCAAGCAGACCAGCCAGACTTCAAGGCCTCAGGTGGCAGGTGGTGGGTGCTTCCCAAGGATAGCCAGCAGCCATCTGGCAGGGGCAAAGCAGAGGGGACCCTCACAGCTTGGGAAAGGCATCCCAGTATCAGTTAGGGCTTTGGAGTCAGATGGGCCTGGTTTTTAGAAAAGGAAAAAGAAAATTTAATTTTTACAAGACAGAATTTTTTAAGTAAGAGGGAATGTTAAACAGTGAAAAGGAAATCTTCACTGCCGACCCCAACCCTGCTCCAAAGGAGGTGCTGTGACCCGTTTCTTTGTTTCCTCCCAGAGATACTCTGAGAATAGAAACTACCCCCTTTTTTGTGCAGAAACAGGCAAAGTATTCTGTCTCTTATTTCTTACCCCAGCTGTGTATGTTGACACTCTTGCGAGTTTCTCTGAGCGGCCCCCAGTCACCCTGTTTAACGGCTGCGTGGTGCCCCACTGTGCAGATGGAGCATGGACGACGTAGCCAGTCGTCCTGGGGTGACCCCTGCTCCCTGCTGCACACACAGACACCGGGCAGATGCCACGCCCCAGGCCTGCCCTCGAGCCAGCTCTGGCTCCTTCTTGTCCAGGACCCTCCGCACACCACCTTCCCCCTCCCATCGTCCGTAGTAATAATTCCAGGATTAAGTGATTGTTGTTTTAATTTTTGGAAGTTTTCATTGGTTTTCTTTACATTTGTCTGTTGTTGATTTTTTTTCTTACATCCCCACCCCTGTCCCATGTGGGCATGATGCTGGGGATTCGCTCCTAGAGCATCTCGGTCCCTGGGTCATGATGCTGTGGCAGATCCCAGGGGGCATGACCCTGGCACCTGAGTCATGGTCCATGGCATCCAGCTACCTCATAGTTCTGTTGATGTATTTCCGGTGCTGCCAGTCTCTTAGCCTTGCAGTTGGCCAGAGTGGGTGGGGAGCACAGAGGCCATTCCGGAAAAGAGTGCGGCCCCCTAGGGCCTCCAGGGGTGTTAGAAGCAGAGCTGAGGCACAAGCCCCAGCCTTGTGGTGCCATGCCGGCTCCTTGTGCCTCCCCCGGTAGCATCTGTCCTTTGCTTCTGTTTGAATTCTTCCCTCCGTGATTAGGATGTGTGATCGCACGTAGCCCGTCACTGCCGTCAGATTCTTCCGCCGTGCGAAGTCGTTAGCGGCGTTGTGTCTTCTGTCTCTCTCTTGTGGTGGATTTTTACTGGGTTCCCAGCCCTTCGGCAGCCTGGGTTCCCACCCTGGCCAAAGCCACAGGCCCTGCTCCTCTGTCCCTGGCTCTGTCCAGGCGGCGTCCAGAGACGCACACATTCAGTCAGTCATTCAGCAGATAGTTACCGAAGCCACATTTTGGAGCATGTGGGGCGCCGGGCCGGGCCGGGCCGGGCCAGCTGTGGCCCCTGCCTGGTGCTGCTCCCTGCCCCTTACGGTCACGTGGACCAGGGTGCTTCGATCAAGAGCTGCATCTTGGTGTCCATCAGGCAGGGGGCTCACCTCGGTGACCACGCCTCCCGCCATTCCCCCACCCCCACCCCCCGTCCCTCTCTTTGCTGCCTCCCTCCCCCGCTTCCTTCAGGAGACTTCCAGCGGTGCCTTCTGAGGCAGGCCTTGCTTCCTTTTGGGATTTTTAACATTTGATGTTATTTTTAGTCACTAATATGTCAAGAGGGCTCTGAAATCAAAACTGTGCCCCACGATGTCTTGTGCGACACCTGCCACCCTCCATGGGGCCTCCACCGCCACGGAAGCAGACGGACATATGAAATGGGGCTTCATCTCTCCCCTCTTCCGGAAATCCTTACTTTTGTCTGGATCCTTACTTTTTGCCATCCTTACTTTCCCCCCACTTCTTCCATTCACCTGACAGAATGTTCTGGAGCTTCTTCTTTGGCAGGACCTTCCTTTTTCTCTGTCACCTGTCCATAGGATCCTGTCACCTTTCACTTAACATTCCTCTAAAGATAGCCCCATTTTCCCTCTCTTGTGACGACCTCAGCCTCACACCTGCATCCTCTGACTTAGGTCCTGGGATGGCCTGAGAAGGCTGCAGGGCACGATATGTCGCTGCCTCAAAGGGACATGCCTCTACACTCCAAAAGTCATCGCTGAGTGGCTCCCCGGGGGGGGGGTCACTGGATGCAGAAATAGAAACCCCCTCCCCTTCTCCAGCACCCTCTTCCTGCCTCATTTACCACCTGGGCACGGCCCACCTTCTGCAGTGCCCTTGACTGACCTTCGTGCTTGCTTCTCCTCTGGCTTCCCCACCACCACGTTAAGCCCCGGGCAGGGCCTCCTCTGTCTTACCCACCGCTGGCTCTGCAGTGCCTAGAACAGTGTCCAGCATCAGTAGGTACTCAGTCTTTTTTTCTTGGATTGACTGAAGTGTGGGGCCTGTTCCGAGTGACCTCGCCGCTCCGTCTTGGCTTCTTCCCATCTGACATGTGGACTCCCATGCCAGGGGCCACTTGGACGATTAAATGAGAAATTGTGCCGCACCAGGCCCTGGGGAGGGGGGTGCCTGGTCCCGCATAGCTGGCTGACTGTTGGCTGCCTCGGGGCTGCCGCTCCCCGCCCCCCCGCCCCGCAGGAGCCCCCTCCGTCGGACCCCTGGCCCTCTGACTCCTCCCTCTGCTTCTGTCCCAGCCGCTCCAGTACCTACCCCTACCCGGAGACGCCGCTGTACACCCAGACCGCGGGCGCCAGCTACTACGAGGCCGCGGGCACCGCCGCCCAGGTCAGCACGCCCGCCACCTCCCAGGCGGTGGCCAGCAGCGGCTCCGTGCCCATGTACGTGTCCGGCGGCCAGGTGGTCGGCAGCTCCACCAGCAGCGGGGCTGGGGCCAGCAACGGCGGCGGCGGCGGCGGCGGCGGGGGCGGCGGCGGAGGCAGCGGCGGCGGGGGAGGCGGCGGCGGGGGGGGCGGCGGCGGCGGCGGCGGAGCGGGCACCTATGTGATCCAGGGCGGCTACATGCTGGGCAGTGCCAGCCAGTCCTACTCCCACACCACCCGTGCCTCGCCAGCCACTGTAAGTACCACCTCGGGCCCCAGCAGAGGCCCGCAGTGGGAGGAGGGGGGCTGAGGGGGAAGGAGGGGAGGGCGGTGGGGTGGGCGTGGTCAGTCGCCACCATCAGCCACCGTAACCGTGGCACCAGAGTCCTCAGATGCAGATATTCTGGGATCAGATCCTCGCTGGGTAGCCTCAGACAAGTTACTCAGCCTCTCTGGGCCTCAGCTCACATGCATGAAGCTGTTAGAGCAGTGCCCCAAGGGGCTTGTCTCCTGTGACTGTATAAAACTGAGGATGGTGGGTGTGGAGCAAGGGGTGGGAAAGGCGGGCACCAGCATGGGGGGAGCTGCCCTGAGCAAGGTTCTTTGTGCATCCGGAAGGCAGCGAGATGACCTCTCTCTGCCCAGACATGGGCTGTATGCAGTTGCTTGGGGAGGGCCCCTCGCTGGCTCTGTGACTGTGGACGGGTCAGGGCCGGGTGGTCCCGTGGCGGTCCTTGTCCTCTTGGAGCTTGGGGTCTGGGGTGATTTTAACTACCGCCCTTTGACCTAGCAACCCATCCTGGACTACATAATCAAGACAGAAACTTTCTCGGAAAGCAGGCAGACCCTCCCTTATACACCCATGCAGCCCGGCTTCTAGTGTTTTTTTAAATGCTGGCTGTGACCCACCTAACTGATTTCATGATCCCGTAACGCGTCCTTACCCGAAGTTTTCAAACATGGTTCACTAGAACAGTGCTGTGCTGCAGAACATTTTCCAGTGATGGAAATATTCCGTCTGTGCTGTTCAGTGTAGAGGCCTCTGGCCACGTGTGGCTAGTGAGCACCTAAAATGTGGCTGGAGTCACCAAGGAACTGAGTTGCGTTTGTTTTTCTTTCTTTCTTTTTTTTTTTAGAGACAGCGAGAAAGGGAACACAAGCAGGGGGGGGTGGGAGAGGGAGAGCAGGCGCCCGCGTTTGTTTTTCTTTAAACTATTTTGATATAATCATAGATTCATAGGAAGTTGCAAAAATAGTACAGGGAGATCCTATGGCCGCCCCCCCCCCAACCCGGTTACCCCACTGCAGTACAGTCTGGAATCAGGAAACTGGGTTTGCTACAGTGTGGCTGTCTACTTATATCTTTTTATCACGGGTATGCATTTGGGAAACCACCACTACGGTCAAGATGCAGAACTGTTCCATTGCCTCAAAGATCGCCCTCCTGCTCTCCCTTCATAGTAACCTCTGCCCTGCTCCCTCCCGGCATCCCTAACCCCCAGCAACCATGAATCCGCTCCCCGTTTCTATAATGCTGTCATTCTGAGAATGTTCTATGAATCATCCTCCACATGACCTTTTGACATTGGCTTCTTCCACTCAGTATAAATTAAATAGCTGTATGTGGTTGGTGGCAACTCCATTGGACAGTGTAGTTCTAGAGAATTCCATGAGGTTTAGTCCCATCCCCCCCGCCATGCTGTCAGGATCACAGTTGGAAATAGGTACAGAGAGGCCTTCGCAGGGAGCCCCCGAGAAACTGCAGTGACTCTTGGTGCTGTCTGTCCCTGGTGCGGCTGCAGGTTCAGTGGCTCCTGGACAACTACGAAACAGCAGAGGGGGTGAGCCTGCCGCGGAGCACGCTCTACTGTCACTACCTGCTGCACTGCCAGGAGCAGAAGCTGGAGCCCGTCAACGCCGCCTCCTTCGGCAAGCTCATCCGCTCTGTCTTCATGGGCCTGCGCACCCGGCGGCTGGGCACCAGGTGGGCCACCCACCCCCTGAAGCCACAAGGCCCGCCCCCACCCCAAGTTCTCCAGGGCCGTGACTCACTCTGCTCTAGCCCCACTGGCCCCCGCCTCTGACACACACGCACACCCACCCCAGGGCCTTTGCGCCAGCTCTGCCTTCTCCTTCCTGCGCTTTTCCCCGGTTCCTTACTCCAATGCCCCCTGGCCCCCTTAACCGAAACTGAAGCCTTCCCACCTGCCACCTCCCTGACACTCCCCACCACCCCCTTTCCTGCTTGCTTTCCCTCCTTACCGCGGAGCACTGTCCCACATGCCTTTTGTGTTGCTTTTCTTGTTGCTGATCTGGCTCCCAGTGCCGAGATGCACATACCTTGAGAGTGCGGGAGCTGCACACTGTTGGTGCTTTAATCAGCGCCTTCAAGTCTGAATTCATGTGGGAAGGAACAAGGGGCTTCCCCTGAACCCACCCTTCCCTTCTTCTCCTTTGCAACCCTCACACCTCCCTGGGGTGAGCCCTGCTCCTCTCTTGGGTCCAATTCCCGGCTTAAGTGTCCCCTCATTCACTTACACATGCATAACCCATGGGCAAAGTACTGCGTCTGTCTGTGCCACAGTTTCTTCCTCTGTCCCCGGAGGGTGCCAGGAGCACCCTTCATAGGACGGGGATAAGGAACACGGGCATTTGCTTATGCTAAGTGCTCAGAACAGGGCCTGGCAAGTTGTTACAACTAGTAGTCAACAAGTACTTGGTGATTCCTGCCCCGTGCCAGGATCGGAGGTCGAGGAGTGCCCCAGATGCTGGCCCTGTCTTCTCAGAACTCAGTTGGCACTCACAGCCCCTGCCCTTCCCCAGCACAGCACCCCCTGACTCCGTGGAACATGGGTCTTGCCCCAGGCTATTTGGCCTCCAGGCAGGGGGAAGCAGGGGTGATGTGAAGGTCCCCAGTGGACAACTGGAGGCCCCCCAGCCCAGCTCTCAGCCTCTGCCTCCCTCTCAGGGGCAACTCCAAATACCACTACTATGGCCTGCGCATCAAAGCCAGCTCGCCCCTGCTGCGGCTGATGGAGGACCAGCAGCACATGGCCATGCGGGGCCAGCCCTTCTCGCAGAAGCAGAGGTAGGAGGATGGGGCCGGACCCTGTGCTGGCGGGCGGGGAGGGGCGTGCTGGCCTGTCTCAGTGCCCCAACCCCACCCCTTCTCCAGGCTCAAGCCCATCCAGAAGATGGAGGGCATGACCAACGGTGTGGCCGTGGGGCCACAGCAGGCCACCGGGCTGTCCGATATCAGCGCCCAGGTCCAGCAGTACCAGCAGTTCCTGGGTGAGAGCGCCCTGGCCCATGGGGCGGCATCCGGGCCGGGGTCTGAGGCCTCTGGAGAGCGTGCAGGTGGTTCCATCTGCCTTCCCAGAGCCTCCTCATTCCCCACTGCCCAGGGCAGAGCCCCGCTTGGGAGGAAAGTGCTGACAACTTGATAAGATCCCAGGGAGAGCCTTGAGGGGGGCAGGCAGGTGGAGGATAAAGGGCCTCATGGTGTCCCCTCCTGCCTCCAGATGCCTCAAGGAGTCTCCCTGACTTCTCAGAGCTTGACCTCCAGGGCAAAGTGCTCCCCGAGGGCATCGGGCCTGGGGATATCAAGGCCTTTCAGGTCCTGTACCGGGAACACTGTGAGGTAGGGCAGCTGGGTGAGTGGGCAGGGGCGAGGGAAAGCCATGCTGCCGCCCCCCCCTCCCCCCTGCCCCGCCACGTCCCTGAGCATCCGGCCTCCCCAACAGGCCATTGTTGATGTCATGGTGAACCTGCAGTTCACCCTGGTGGAGACGCTGTGGAAAACCTTCTGGAGGTACAACCTCAGCCAGCCCAACGAGGCGCCTCCGCTGGCTGTGTGAGTCCCTGGGGGCGGGGGGCGGATGGGGAGGAGGGAAAGGGGGACGGGCATGGTGAGAGTCAGCGCCCGGGGCTGGGGTAGCCAGACCTCGGACCTCAGGTGGAAGGGCGGTATCTGCCTGAGCCCTGCAGTTTGTGGGGTGCCCATGACCTCCTGACCCACACTTCAGTGCTCGTGTATCAGTCCGACACTCAGTGCCTGGGATAGCACGCCTCGCTAAGCCATTTCCTCCCGGCAGCGGGCGTATAAGCTCCCCGTCTGACCCCGGGGGCGTCGGGCCCGTGTCAGCCTGACCTTGGGGCTGGGGCGGGTGTGCACAGGCACGACGAGGCTGAGAAGCGGCTGCCCAAGGCCAGCCTGGTGCTCCTCTCCAAGTTTGAGCCAGTGCTGCAGTGGACCAAGCACTGTGACAACGTGCTGTACCAGGGCCTGGTGGAGATCCTCATCCCCGACGTGCTGCGGCCCATCCCCAGTGAGTGCAGGACGGCCGCCCCGCCGCTGCCCCCCCCATCCCCCCCCTCCACAGTCCCGATCAGCCCCTGCTGCCGCCCGCAGGTGCCTTGACCCAAGCGATCCGGAACTTTGCCAAGAGCCTGGAGAGCTGGCTCACCCACGCTATGGTGAACATCCCTGAGGAGATGCTGCGTGTGAAGGTGAGGGTGTGACGGGGCTTCTGGGCACGGGCTCACGGAGGGGGCGCTGAGCGGCCAGCCTGGGTGCACAGCCCACATCCTGCCACCCGGCCGTGGGACTGCGGGCTGGGGGCCTTGGGCTCCTCTCCCTGATAGAGGCCATGGGATCTGTCCCCACGCGTGTCCCTCAGAGTGAGCTTTGGGTATTGCCTTCACAAACCGGCTTCCTCAGGTGCCCACTTCTGAAACACAACCCCTCTGTGGTGTTTTTGTACACAAACTACTCTGATGTGAGGAAGTAGATGTGATGTGCTTGCTCTTGAGCAAAAAAAGAAAAGGAAGAAAAATAAATAAAAATAAAAGGAAGAAAAGGGGGTTTTCATTGTCCTTAAAATGTCAAGGAGACAGTTATATGGAACTGGGCATCTGAAGCATTACTCCTGGGTGCACTGGACAGGGGGTGAGGAGTGGAGAGGTGGAAAGAGTAGAAGCTGGATCCAATGAAAAAAAATGAATAAATGTATTCATTTATTCAGCACACATTTATTGAGCATCTACTGTTCTCCATGCTGGGAGCACAGCAGTGACCAAGATGGACAACACCCCACCTTCCCTAACCTGACATTCTAGCCAGTGCCCTCTGAGAATTTCTCTTGTGTCCTTTCATTAAAAATAATAATAATGCGGGTCAGACACATTATATTGATTTTTTTTTTTTTTTTGCCCCGTACTTTGGGTGTCCACCCGAAGTTTGAAAATCCCGACCCCTTGATCTCCCAACAAAAGCAACGAGGTACATCCCTCCCTTTTAGGAGAAGGAAAGGCTCAGAGAAGTTGCAGCGGATGGGGCAGGGGATGGGGGAGGGGGGATCGCACCGTCCACGCGCACATCCGCCACCTGCCACATCCGGCCCCGCAGGTGGCAGCGGCCGGCGCCTTCGCGCAGACGCTGCGACGCTACACGTCGCTCAACCACTTGGCGCAGGCGGCGCGCGCCGTGCTGCAGAACACGGCGCAGATCAACCAGATGCTGAGCGACCTCAACCGCGTGGACTTCGCCAACGTGCAGGTGAGCGCGTGACGGGGCCGGCGAGCGCGGCGCGGGTGAGGGCAGCGCGGCCCCGGGGCGGCGGCTGAGCCGCGGGCATTTGCCGGCCGTCCTCCAGGAGCAGGCCTCGTGGGTGTGCCGCTGCGAGGACCGCGTGGTGCAGCGGCTGGAGCAGGACTTCAAGGTGACCCTGCAGCAGCAGAACTCACTGGAGCAGTGGGCGGCCTGGCTGGACGGCGTCGTGAGCCAGGTGCTCAAGCCCTACCAGGGCAGCGCCGGCTTCCCCAAGGCCGCCAAGCTCTTCCTCCTCAAGTGGTCCTTCTACAGGTGCGCTCTGGCTCCGCCTCCGCCTCCGGAAGGGGCGGGGCCTCGGGACGGCTCCTCCTCTCCGGGGGGCCGGCCAAAATGGGATCAGGGGAGGCCCCGCCTCCTCGCGGGACTTGGGACCAGAGAAGATCCCGCTTCCTCGGGGCTCGGGTTCCCTTTCACCAGGGCGGAGGTCCCTGTTGGCGGTGGGCAGGGTGAGGACCCTATGCTCTCACTGTTGGACGCACTTGGGAAAGCCGGGGCGGGGCCGGACCGGGGTAGCAGGGCTAGCTGGCGCGTGGGGGGTCGTTGAGGCACGGAAGGCTGGCGAGGGGCGGCACCGGGCCTGATGGCCTCCGTTCCGCCGCCGCCCACAGCTCCATGGTGATCCGGGACCTGACCCTGCGCAGCGCTGCCAGCTTTGGTTCTTTCCACCTCATCCGGCTGCTCTACGACGAGTACATGTACTACCTGATCGAGCACCGTGTGGCCCAGGCCAAGGGCGAGACCCCAATCGCCGTCATGGGCGAGGTGCGCGCGGCGGGGCGCTGAGGGCGCGGGCGGGGCGCCCCTCGGCGGGACCCTCACCCCTTGTCTTGCCTCCTTGCAGTTCGCCAACCTGACCACCTCGCTGAACCCCCTTGACCCGGACAAAGGTAGGTGGGGCGTGTCCCCTAGCGTGGGCCCGAGTCCCAGGAGCGGCAGTCGGGGCGGTGGGGATGGAGGAGACGCCACGCTGAGTCGGGCCTGCTGTGTGTGTCCCAGACGAGGAGGAGGAAGAGGAGGAGGAGAGCGAGGACGAGCTGCCGCAGGACATCTCGCTGGCGGCTGGCGGCGAGTCGCCCGCGCTGGGCCCTGACGCCCTGGAGCCGCCGGCCAAGCTGGCACGGACAGACGCGCGTGGCCTCTTCGTGCAGGCGCTGCCCTCCAGCTAAGCCCGCGGCCTCCCCCGCCCCGCCCGCCCGCCCCCGCCGCCCGTCCACGCCAGGGTCCCTCACAGCTTCTGTGGCTTCGCTGTCACCGTTCCAGCCTCCGGCCGGGAGGGGGCCGCCAAGACAGGGAAGGCTAGGGGGTCCCTGCCCGCAGTGGGGCCGGCACAATCACAGGGCCGGGCGGAGCCGCAGCTGCAAACTGACACAAAAGACGTGCCTTAAGGAACCCGCCACCGTGCCCAGGTGCCCCGTGGGACAGCCAGCTAGGCTCCTTGGCCCCGAAGGCCTCAGCATCTCCCTCCCCCAGCCCCACCCTCCCGCCACCCCAGGGGGCAGGCAGGCAGGCCCCCCTCCCCTGTGGAACTGTTAACTTATTCAGCTCGCTGGCTTTGCACAGTCTGTCCCGGGCCCAGCCCTGAGCCCCAGGTGGGCACAGGTGGGCATCACCTGGGGACCCCCACTGTCAGCAGCAGCCCCAGGACCCCTGCCCCAGCAACCCCACCACTCCCCACTCCTTGGTATAAGTGCAATTAAAGCCGTGGGTGTCGCATCTTCTCCAGAGCTGGGCCCTCCCTTGCCCCGCAGCCCTCGAGGAGGGCACTGTCCTGGCCTGGTTGGGGGGAGGGCGGCCGGGGGCACCGCCTCCAGCTTCCAAAGAGCAGCAGGCCGGGCTGGGCGTGGGAGCCCAGAGGGGCCTGCTGCTGGCAGTGGGGCCTGGAAGTGCCCGCACCTGTCCCGACCCCGGCTGGGGGCTCGGCTCCCTCAGATCCAAGACCCCGGCGTCCCAGGCCACCCGCCTCTGGTTTGTAATGGAACCTCTGTGCTCCTTCTCTCCCGGGAGACTGTGCTTCTCCTCCGTGCAGTGCGACCCGCCCCCCACATGACTATTGTGCGATTTGTGAGCCGCCTGAGCGGAGTTGGTAACTTGTTGGTTTTTTTCCAACCATCATGGCCTTATCTGTTCCGGTTTTCTCAGTGTCTTCAACCTGTGAAATAGATGTTTATGGCAAAAAGCAAAAAAAAAAAAAAAGACAAAAAAAAAAGACAAAAAAGATCTGACCTATTGTATAAAAATCACTATTTTGTGTGCTCCGCGTGCTACAGCTTTTGGGGTGGCCCCCCCACGTCCCCTCCCCACTCCCTCGGGGCCCCCCCGCTCCTGGCCGTGAAAGTGTCCACGCGTGTGGTAGTCTAGTGTGCCGAGCTGTTTTCTACCTTTTTGTAGTCTTTCTTAAAACAATAAATTCCGCTGTGCTATGTGGCTGCTGCTGAGTCGCGGGGCCCTGGGGCCGGGGCTCCGACTGAGCCCCGAGCGGCAGTAAGGGGAATTCAGGGAGGTTCAGAAATAAAACATTTATTACATGAAGAGGAACGACGGGCGGGGGGAGGGGATGGCCACGAGGTCTGCCCCCTCAGGTGGGGGGAGGCTGGGGCAGGCAGGGGAAGGGGGTCCATTCGGCCTCCCTGGGGGGCAATGTCCACACCCGTAGCCAAGGAAAGGGGCAGATGCACAGAGAGCAAGGGCCTGTGCCCAGCGCAGGGTGAATGAAGGTGGGCGCTTGAGGCTGGTGGGGCAGGGGGCTCCCTCCCTCTGCCCCTTCCCAACTTAAATAGGCATAAATAAGAAGCGTCCGGACTCTCAGGCCACCAGGGGCTGCCCCGCCCAGCCCCCTTCCCCGCAGCCTAACACGAGTGCCGGCCCGTCGGTCGGTCGCGTCGGGCGGCCGGTCATCGGTCGGCCAGCCAGCCGGGGAGAGGCTGCCAGGAAGGCGGCCGGCTCCCAGGCCACGGAGGTAGTTGGAGTCAGTGTCCAGAACAGCCGGGCCCTCACAGCACAATCCATGTGTATCGCTCACTGTCTGCCAGAACCTTCAGTGAGCACCCTGCAGGGAAGGGTCAGAAGGGAGCCATGGAGTCTCTGCAGGCCCAGGCTGAGGGGAGGGGCCTGCCTCTTTCCCTGACTTGATTTGGGCCACAAGGTTCCAGAAGGCAGCGACCCCGTTGAGTTATCCGGCGGCCTCCCAGTAGAGGTCTGCTAAATGAGTGCATGGACTGGCTGGGGGTCCCCAGGTGCCACACCCGCCCGGTCCTCCCGGGGCCTGCCCTGCCCCCATTCCAGTTCCACTAGCGCGGCCAGCGGACTCCATTCAGGAACACTGAGGAATCCACAGGTGCTCTAGGCCTGGCATGGCACCAGGAAGGACCTCGGTCCTGACGGTCACCGGGTCACGGGGCCCACCTTTGTGCAGCGCCTCGTTGGTCATCCTATTGACGTAGCGGCCGCTGCTCTCGGGCACTAGCCACTTCATGACCATGTCCACGCAGCTCTTGCGGTATGAGCTCCAGACGCTGCCGCTGAGGGCAAGGGGGTGAGGGCTCTCATCACCCAGGCCACCCACCCCGGCCCCCGGCCCCCGGCCCCGGCCCCCCCTCACCTGGTCTGCCCCTTGACCTCGGTGAGGTCGCCGACGCTGACTGTCACGAAGATGCCCGTGTTGAGGTCCCATGCCACCTTGAGGCTGGTGTGATAGGTCTTTGGTCTGCAGTGGGGTGGGGGGCAAAGGAGAAAGGGATGGGACCAGTGGGTCCCTCAGCTGGGACCCGGGCGACCCTGAGGGTCTTCTGTCTTTGGAGCAGTAATGGAGTGTGCGGTCCAGGCTTTGGGGGCAGGGGAAGTCGTCTCCTGTCCCGACTCGCCCACCCCCGCAGAAGCAGCTGAGTGTGGCCTCGTGCTGGGCAGATGAGGGGCTTCTCTGCTCCCACTCGCTCACCGGAGCTGGCCCTCCTCGCTGGGGGACGGGAATGCCAGCAGCAGCAGGCCGATGTTGATGAGGACCTGATTGGTTTCCGGGCAGACCTGGGGGGGTGAAGGGGCGGGGACGGCAGGGACAGCTACGGAGGTGACGCCCAGAACAGGGAGGCCCCGGGCCCGCCCTGTCCCCTTCCCCGGGGCCCACCTCTAGGATGACAATGTCATAGTCACTGAAGGAACAAAACTGGTGGGCCCAGGTGGCATCGTGGCGGATGACCTCATTGATGACGTATTCGAAGTCCAGCGTGAGCTGCTCCACCGTCAGGTACTGACCCTGTGGGCGGTGGGCCGGGAGAGCTGCCTCAACTGCCGCCCCCGCAGGCTCCCCGGGGGGGCTGGCACCACTGGCACCAACCTGGACGGCGGCCTGCTCCCGCATGGGCCGCAGGTTACGGCCACGGAGATCAGTCACCACAAAGGGCAAGGAGATCTTGTCATCCTCGAGCTCTGAGGGAACAGGACATGGGAGTAGGGGGGCGGGCCCCCCCACGCCTAGGGCCCTGCCCGCTGGGTGGGTTTCCGGCTCACCGTCCTCCGGCTCCGTCCCTTCGCTGGAGCCCAGCACGTAGTACAGCTTGGTGTAGTTGACGTAGCCGGGCTCCGGGGCAGGCGCCTCGGCTGCAGGGGGGCTGTCTCGGGGTGCCACCTCCCCGCCTGGGGCCAGGGGCTCCGAGGGCAGACGGCAGCGGCTGCCCGACGGCCCCGGGCAGGGGGGCGGCCGGGCTTCCTCCAAGGCCCCCCCCCTTGCCTCTCTAGCCCTACGGAAGATGTCGGCCACAAACTCCTTGGCTTTGGTGACGGCGGGCGAGGGCTCGGGGGCCCCGGGGGGCCGGGCGGGGGCCACTTCAGGGCAGGGGCTGGGGAGGGCGGGGGGCACCTCGGGGCTCTGGGGCCCAGGGGGGCTGGGAGGGGCGGGGGGGCAGGTGGTGTGGTCATACAGGATTTGGCAGAAGCTGCTCTCGCCTGGAACAAAAACCAGAGAGGGAGGTGGGGGCCGGTCAACAGACAAGGTCAAGTTTAGGACACTGCCAACCGCCCTCACTGCCCCGGGGGCCGGTTCTTAGAAATCCACCTTGAGGAGACCCTTCTACAAGACTTACCTATGTTGAAAGAGCAGTCGGGAACACTCAGAAGGGAAAAAGGCCTTATACACACGCGCGTGCACATAAGCAACACTCATTCAGACTTTAGTTCTGAGCATCTACCAAATGCCACACACTAAGGACATGAGCGAATAAGACACAAAACTCCCCGCCCTTGGGGGGCTGACAGTGACAAAAGCTAAGTTTACTACACAGCCATGCCTCCTCCCCAATGGGAACTGACTGGCTTGGGCACACGGCAGCCAAATCCCAGGCCTCCATCTGTCTCTGCCCGACTAGGGACCGGTCCCCCCGCCCCCCCCGGAGGATGTGGGCGCAGCACGGACAACCCTAACGCACTCAACGAGCAGCACCAGGAGCTGGGCACCACCTCCGCAGGGCCCCCCACAATCAATCCTGGGAGGATGGGGGCTGTGTCCTCCCAGTTCAGAGACTAGGGACCGAGGCTCAGGGAGAAACTTGTCCAAGGTCACACTGCAAGACAATGCGAACCAATGCACTGCTGTCCACCAGCGTGGACAAAACTCACTCCCCTTCTGTGTAAATGGTGAGGTGACAGACATGGGTGACCGTGCCCCCCTCACCCTCGAATGCGCACAGCTGAGTCCTGTCCCACGTGGCCCTTCCTACAGAGACCCATAGCCACAAGTCCAGAGGGTACGGGCCTCAGCTAGGCCCGGCTTGTTGGGGCTCACAGCTTGACGAGGGGCAGGGCCTTGCCCACAACGGCTCAGGTGGCCAGGGTCAGGAGGCCCCTGGATGGGCCTGGGGACAGGGCATCCTGGCCCTTGTTGATGTGTGGGCTCAGTTATATACATTTAATTCTCTTTTCATATCCGCTCCCCTCCCTCTCCCAGGGGCAACCATTTTAATGTAGTTAACGGGGGTCTTTCCATTTGACTGGGTTCTTGCAAAATCGGAACATTTTTAATTTATATGTAAGTGGTATCATTATCCGGTTATAGATCTCCTTCCGTTTCTCTTACATTGGAGCGCGTCTTTAAGGCAACGCTCCACGGACATGCACGCTGGGGCGCCCGCTGGGGCGCCCAATGGGGCTGCTGATCCAAGAGAATACCTGCCTTGTCCCACCTCCCTGATCCCCAGGGATGAAGAGCAGGCAGCCCCCAAAGCCTTGGACATGCCCAGGCACAGGACTGTGGTCACACGGCTGCCGTGCGGCCCCGAGAGTGCAGGGGAGGCCCCAGGGCCCCACATCACCACCAGCCGGTAGCATCATCCAGCTTCTTAACTTTGGCCACCCTGTCAAGGGACATCACCTTGTGATCTCACTGGCGCTTTTTCTATTCCCAAAGACATATGACAGCCAGCCGTCCACTAACAACTCCCTGAAATTTTAAATTTTTGAAATGAGCACTGTGCCACCCAGCATGGTAGTCACGGCCACGTGTAGCTGTTTGAACTCAACTAAAATGAACTGAAATTAAAAACTCAGTTCCTTGATCACGCAAGCCACTTTCAAGGGGCTATTGGGGGGCAGCTGTAGCCGACCCGGCAGACACAGACCATCCCAGCCCTGTGGAAAGTTCTAGAGGACAGCGCTGGGGTGGAGCATGGCTAGCTTTGCAGTCCGTACTCCCGCTTTCCAGCCGAGTGACCTCGGACAGGGGACTTCGCCTCTCCAGACCTCATTCAGGGTCAGGGGACTGGGGGCTCTGAGGATTCCAGCAGGTGCCAGGCCCATCATCAGACCGGGGGGCCTACCTGCCGAGTGGACTGAGACAGCGCAGGCCACCAGAGAGTAGCTGGTGTTGAGCAGCACCACCTGGTCCTTCTTGAGCTGGAAGGCGGGCTGGAAGGTGGGGAAGGGGTAGACCACCTGGTACTTGGTGTGCAGCATGAAGCCGTGCCGCAGGCACTGAGCGCTTGGGTCGCCTGCAGCAACACATGCCCCGCAGGCTCACTCGTGGCCTCGGGGCAGGGAGGCGGCCCGCACCCCGAGGCTCCCCGGCCGCTCACCTGGATGGGCCCGGCTGGCTTCCCGGCACGCGGCGCAGCGGCCTGGCGGTGGCACGGCCACAGTGCTGATGTAGATGTCTCGGTGGTTCTCGTCACTCATCATCATCATGTTCATGAGCATCCCGTTGGCCGAGCGGGTGCTGGGGGCCGGCACGCCTTCAGCAGCCTGGCCCACGCCCCGCCCTCCCCGGGTCCCCAGGCCTTCCGTGTCCCCACGTCTTACTTGAAGCCAAAGACGATGACCTTGGAGGCATCGCTGGGCCACTCGCACACGGTCAAGTACAGGTCACTGTAGATCTCCTCGTCCTGGAAGAGCCGCACCTGCCGGACCTGAGCAGCACGTTCAGGGTCGGTATGGGGTCACAGCGGGTAGGGTGGGGGGCGTAGGGAACCCGAGGCTGCACCACACTGGGCTGGAATCGGAGCTGGGGCTGAGCTGGCAGGAGCACCCTTTCTGGGGAGGGAGGTGGTCGAGCTAGGGAGTCCCAAGCAGCTCCTACACCATACCCCTCTGCCTTCCTGAGGACAGGCTGGGGAGGCTCCCCTTACGAGGAGGGGAACCAGGGAGGCCAGCCTGGCACAGGCGGAAGCTGAGGAGAGCCCTGCCCCAAGAAAGGGGACTCTGCCAGACACATCAGTTCCACGCCCAATCCACCCTGAAACCTGTTCACCTCTCCGAGCTCATGTGTAAACTGGGGTAAATGCACTAACCTTCTGGAAAGGGGGGGTCAAGGAGTCAAAGTCAGGGTTAAGCGAACAGGCTAGCAAAGCTCCGGGTCCCACCTGGCCTGAGCCTGCCGTGTCCTTCTTAGGCATGTATGCTGAGTCGAACCACACAAAAGTGCCGCTATCTACCCACTTGCAACTATAAAAATGGCAACTGCACGTGGTTTGACCAAATACACGGAATACTGACAATGACCCTTGGAGTAGAATTTCTCCACTTTATGGACAAGGAAGCTGAGGCTCAGGGGGGTGCTGTGATCTGCTGGTCATGCTGCTGGAAGGGACAGCCCAGCCCTGGGCCCGGCCCTACCAGCTTGAGTTTGCTGTGGACGTTGAACTCCCACCAGTACAGATGGTAGATGTAGAAGGAGAAGTCATCATCCCCACTGCTGCTGGTGTACGAAAGAACGTAACGGCCGCACTTGGAAAAGCCCAGGAAGATGTGTCTGTGGGGGTGGGGGCAGAACAGCAGGTCAGGACCAGCCTGCCGCCCCCGCCCAGCTCCCCCACCTCAGCCCAGCCTCGCACAGCCTCACCCTGCATAGAGAAAGTCCTCGTCCACAATATTCTTGAGCGAGACGCAGACCCTGGGCGGCAGCTTCCGGAAGAGGCGAGGCGAGAGCTGCCCACTGATCTGGGGAAGGGGTGGCCCTGGCTCATGAGGTACCAACACCCCCAGTCCCCTCACCTAAAGCACAGTAGCACCCCCAAGATCTGGCCCAGACACACAGGCCCACTTCCTAATAACCATGACGGTCAAGAGTGGTCCAAGCTCTGGAAGGTGGGAATAGCTGGGGAAGATCAGCTGGGCCTCACCTGAGCCTCCCCTTCCACCATGGACCCATGCCACCCTCCCAGCCCCACATCTCTCCAGCCTCAGAACCCCTCTTGCCCAAGCAACCAGGTTCTAAGAACCAGCAATGGTATCACTCCCCACCCCCAGGAAGGTTCCCCATTCACCCTTGGTCACAGTGGGCCACTGGTTGACTTCCTGAAGGCTGCTTCATGGTGCACTGAGCTGTGGGTGTCCTCGACCCCTAAGGAGGCTTGACCAACTGAACTCACCTGTCCCTGACCCACTAGCTTACACACAGGGTGCTCAGGACCTTTGGGACGGCCTTGGCCTCAGCTGGGGACCCACAGAGGCAGAACAGTGGGGCTGACCAGTGACCTTCCAATTCCTGCCCAATTCCCCCTTCTCAATTAACCTAGCCACCTTCTAACCGACTCCCTCATCCCAAAAACTTCAAGGAAGGATGGGGGGGGGGGCAGGCAGGCACAAGCTGCGTAGTAGGGCATCAGAGAGCACCCTGAATGCTACAGCCCAGTCTGAGTGAGATACTTGGCCTTGCCCTCAAGAGAGTACAGTCTGATGGGAAAGAGACCTATCTGGGGAGCTCCCTAGCAGACGGGGGAGACAGCCCACTCCTCAAGGGGATCCCAGTCTGATGGAACAGCCCTGTTGGTGAGGCCCAGGCTGACAGGGGAGACACAATCCCTATCCAGGGAGCTTCCAAGCTAAGGGTGGAGCCACAGCCCAACCCAGGGAACAACCAGGCTGAAGGCGGAGACTGTCCCTGCCCCAGGACCTCGTCAAAAGGAGGAGACACAGAGCTGCCCTCACAGAGTTCCCAGCCTAATGGAGAAGGTGCTCCCCCTATCCACAAGGATACAGTTCTGCCCAGGTTGCTGCTACCTGACAGCAGATTCACATGTCTGCCCTCCCAGAGCTCCCGAACTGATGCGGGAGATACATGCTGGCATGCTGTGAGTTTACTGTCTGATGGAGAAGACAGAGCCCTGCTCAGGGAGCTCCCAATCTGAGGGGAAAGACCAGGCTTTCTCCAAGGAGGTCCCTCCCATTCAATGGGGGAGGCAGACACAGGTACAGGAACTCCCAGCTCCCGTGTGGTCAGAGCAGGGACAGAGAGAGGAACACCAGGCAGAGGAAGCCCAAAGCCGGTAGCAGGGGCTCCGCCAAGGGGGCGGGAAGGCTCCATACGGAGGGGCCATGAGAGCAGGGTTTTGGAAAAATGAGTCTGACCCTGGATCGCCCCCTTCCTCCTTATTCCTCCAGCGACCCCCTCCCATCCAAGCCCTTTCTCGGCCACCCCCATCAGCCCTTCCATCCGAGCCCCCTCCCCGGGACCCCGCCCCCAGCCCCCTCCATCCAAACCCCCGTCCCAGCCCCCTCCATCCAAGCCCTCTCCCCCGGGCCCCGCCCAGCCCCCTTCCTCCGAGCCCCCTCCCCCCGGGCTCCGCCCCCAACCCCTCACCCCGCGAACGCCCTCCCTCCCTCCGCCTCCCTCGTCCCATCTCCCCCCCTCCGGCGCGCTCCTCCCAGACTCCAGGCCTTACCTTGACCCGCTCCAGCTGCTTGAGGACGTGCTCCCGCCGCCGCCCCGCTGCCCGCTTCCCTCCGGCGCCCCCGGGGCCGCCGCCGCCGCTCCCGGCCCCGCTATTCCGCTCCGATTTCGAGCTGGGCGCCATTTTCACCCCCTCCCTCCACTTCCGGAGCAACCGGCCTTTTCGTCCCACCCCCGCCGCCTCCTCATTGGCCCTTTCTCGGCATTGAGGCCCGTCGGTTGGGTGAAAGCCCGCACTCGGGGCCTCTTCCCGCTAGGCCTGTCCATCATAGCCACCTCGGCCCTTGATTGGTAGAGATGGTACAACCCCGTGGTTCGCCGCCGTATTCCCGCCTTTCCGCAAGGACGCACCCGTCAGAGGCCCCATTTGCGCCCCTTGCCGAGATGACTTTGACCGGATAGGCGAAGGCCCCTATCCCTCTCGGCGGCGTCACGCCCCCCTGTGGCTGGTGGGTTTCCATGGAGACCGCGGGCGGTCCAGGCCCGTGGGCGGGGCGATCGAAGCCCCTGGTCCACACCGGCCGGAGTCCCCACAGCGCCCTATCCGGATGCACAGAGGCCTGGCGAGTATCCTGGGGCCACCCGGCCAGGCCGAGGAAAGGGCTTTGCAAAAAAAAAAAAAAAAAAAGATGAGATTAAATGAAAACATTTTTCGGATGGGCTGGGGGCGGCCTGGTGGGATGATGATGATGATGATAGCATCGATCGCTTATATAGCACTTCACATGTGCTAGACATGGTTCTGAGCTTACAACAATTCTATGTAGTAGGTCGCTGTTGTGCCCATTTTACAGATGACAGTAATAATAATAATTGTTGAATGTCTGCTAGGAGTATCGTCTCCATGTGGCGTTTGCTCATTTAATTTTCCCAACAGTTTTGCAGATAGGTCCTTTTATTTATTTTTTTTTTTTTAAAGATTTTATTTATTTATTTGACAGAGAGAGACACAGCGAGAGAGGGAACACAAGCAGGGGGAGTGGGAGAAGAAGAAGCAGGCTTCCCGCGGAGCAGGGAGCCCAATGCGGGGCTCGATCCCAGGACCCTGGCATCATGACCTGAGCCGAAGGCAGACGCTTAACGACTGAGCCACCCAGGCGCCCCGATAGGTCCTTTTATTATGTCAATTTTACACAGGATGAAACTGAGGCTTACAGTGTAGTGCTCCTGAGTACCTGACATGCGAATACCTCAACTGTGACTATAATCAGGGAGGAAGTGAATGGATCTTGCTCTTCACATTCTTCCAGCCTCATGCATTCATTTAGCCAACAAATATTTATTGAGCACCTACTATGTTCTAGGCGCTGGTGAACAAAACAGGTGATAAACAAGGAAATAGATTTACAAGGAAATAGATTTCGGTTACCTAATTTCAGGTAGGATTAGAAATCAAAGGGAAGAAAGAAGGCTGTTCAGGACAGTCAGAGAGGGGCCCTGTGCAGGTGAGGGAGAGGAATGTTCCAGCAAAGACAAAGCCTTCAGCGGGATGAGGGTGGCATGACTGAGAGACCGCAAAAAGGCCAATTGGGCCAAAGCAGGAATGAGCAAGGAAAAAAAATAAGCAAGGAAGACAGATAAGGACTTGGAAGCAGGCAGGGAGTGTTGGTAAGCAAGATAGTTGGATTTTACTCTTAAGCAGAAAGGGAAGTCTCTGGAAGGTTTTTAGTAGATGATGGAATCTGCTATGAGATTTAAAAGATCATTGTGGGGGCGCCTGGGTGGCTCAGTCGTTAAGCATCTGCCTTCGGCTCAGGTCATGATCCCAGAGTCCTGGGATCGAGCCCCGCATTGGGCTCCCTGCTCTGCGGGAAGCCTGCTTCTCCCTCTCCCACTCCCCCTGCTGTGTTCCTGCTCTCGCTATCTCTCTCTCTGTCAAATAAATAAATAAAATCTTTAAAAAAAAAAAAATCATTGTGATCCATGGGGTACCTCAGTGGCTCAGTGGGTAGAGCATGCAACTCTTGATCTCAGGGCCTTGAGGTCATGCCCCATGTTGGGTGAAGAGATTACTTAAAAAAAAACAACAACAACTAATGGGGTGCCTGGGTGGCTCAGTCGGTTAAGTGGCTGCCTTCGGCTCAGGTCATGATCCCAGGGTCCTGGGATCGAGCCCCACGTCCAGCTCCCTGCTCAGTGGAGAGCCTGCTTCTCCCTCTCCCTCTGCCTACTTGTGCTCTCTCTGTCAAATAAATAAATAAAATCTTAAAAAAAAACCAAAAAACTAACAATAGAAGGATCGTTGTGATCCAAAGAAATAAATACCAATGAGTCCATACTGGTATAAATAAATGAATAAAAATGGGGGCAAAGAGACCACCATTCCATATAGAAGCTGTCCAATTAATGGGCGCCTGGGTGGCTCAGTTGGTTAAGTGACTGCCTTTGGCTCAGGTCATGATCCCAGGGTCCTGGGATCGAGTCCCGCATTGGGCTCCCGGCTCGTTGGGGAGCCTGCTTCTCCCTCTGACCCTAACCCCTCTCATGCTGTTTCTCTCTCTCTCTCTCTCTCTCTCTCTCTCAAATAAATAAATAAATAAAATCTTAAAAAAAAATAAGTATAGAAGGAATGAGGGAAATAAAAAATCATTATCAGACAAACACCACGGTTATAATTGCAGCAAGCAAGATCTACCAATGAGTGCTAAAATTAGTGGATGAAACTTCAAGGAGAAACGCAACATTTGCCTACCCTAAAAGTATCTCTCCTAAAATATTTATTAATTACTGGGTTTTTAAAAATATATGTCCACGGGGGCACCTGGGTGGCTCAGTAGGTTAAGTGTCTGACTCTTGATTTAGGCTCAGGTCATGATCTCAGGGTCGTGGGATTGAGCCCTGCCTCAGGTTCTGTGCTGGGTGTGGAGCCTGCTTGGGATTCTCTCTCTCTCTCTGCCTCTGCCCCTCCCCACCCCCACCCCACCCCTGCCCGAGCACTCATACATGCGTTCTCTCTCTCTCAAAAAAAAAAAAAAAAAAAATCCACAGATTGTTTGATATTCCTCCTTCCAGGAGGTGGAGCTTAATTCACCTTGTTGGGTGTGAGCTGGATTAATTTAGTGACTTGCTTCTAAGGAATAAAAGTATGGAAAGTGCAAAAAGTAACCTGACAGTGGAGAAACCTGGCAGATACTACCTCAACCAGGTAATCAACATTATCATCCCAGGGGAGGCGCCTGGGTGGCTCAGTCTGTTAAGCATCTGCCTTCAGCTCAGGTCATGGTCCTGAGGTCCTGGGATCGAGCCCTGCATCAGGCTCCCTGCTCAGCAGAGAGCCTGCTTCTCCCTCTGCCCCTCTCCCCTCATGTTCACTCTCTCTCTCTCTATCTCAAATAAATAAACAAAATCTTAAAAAAATTATCATCATAGCAATGAATCATGTGCATGGATCCCCGATATGATATAATAAGGACACATCACCTCCCTGGTATTGTCTCCCAAACCTATAACCTCAGTCTACTCATGAGAAAACATCAGATGTTTGTCCCAAATTGAGGGACATTCTACAAAAGACCTGACTAGGACACTTCAAAAATGTCAAGGTCATGAGGAAGCACCTGGGTGGCTCAGTTGGTTAAGCATCCAACTCTTGGTTTCAGTTCAGGTCATGATCTTGGGGTCCTGAGATCCAGCCCGTGTTGGGCTCTGTGCTCAGCGTGGAGTCTGCTTTGAGATTCTCTCCCTCTCTCCCTCTGCCCCTCCCCTCCACTTCCTCACTCTCTCTCTCTCAAATAAATAAATAAATCTTTTTTTTAAATGTCAAGGTCATGAGAAACAAAGCATGACCAAGAAATTAGCACAGATTAGAGAAGTCTTAGGAGACGCAATAAATGAAATGTGATGTGATGTCCTGGATGAGGTCCTGGATGAGATCCTGGACCCGAAAAGGACATCAGAGAGAAAACTGGTGTAATTCATACTAAGTCTGTAGTTTAATGAACAGTATTGTGCCATGTTAGTTAATCTCTTCTTTGTGACAAGGGTACCATGGTTATGCAGGATGTTAACATTTGGGCCAGTGGGGTGAAGAGTAGACAAGAACTTTGCAGGGTGTCAATATTGCAAATTATCTTAGCCTGTTGAGCTGCCATAATAAAAATACTATAGACTGGGTGAATTTATGACAAACATTGATTTCTCACAGTTCTGGGGGCTGGGAAGTCCAAGACTAAGACCCTGGCATAGCCAATGTTTGGTGAGGGACCACTTCCTAGATTGTGGACAACTGCCTCCTTGCTACATCCTCACATGGCTGAGACAGAGAGAGAGGGAGAGAGAGATCACCAGCTCTCTTACAGGCCCTAATCCCATTCATGAAAGCTCCATCCTCATGACCTAATCACCTCCCAAAGGTCCCACCTTCTAATACCATCACAATGGGGGTTAAGTTTCAACATATGCATTTAGGGGAGACACAAACATTTAGTTCCTAGCACAAATCTTCTGTAAGTTGAAAATTATTTCAAAATAAAAAGTTTTTTGAAGAGTTTTGGTGAAAGGTTATTTGGTTTCTGTGTGGAGCGCCTGGGCGGCTCAGTCTGTTGAGTGTCCAACTCTTGATTTTGGCTCAGGCCATGATCTCAGCGTTGTGAGATGGAGCACCATGTCTGGCTCTGCACTCAGCAGAGAGTCTGCTTGAGATTCTCTCTCCCTTTCCCTCTGCTCCTTGTCTCGCTTACTCTTTCTCTCTCTTAAATAAATAAATAAATAAATAAATCTTTAAAACATTTTCATTCTGTCGTATGTCATGAATACCACAGTCAAAAATTTTTTTTTAATTCAACAGACATACAAGGATATATGGTGGCAACGCCCCCTCTCCCCTCCGCCCCAGCTACCCAATTTTCCCTCTGAGACAGCGGATACCTTTTTTAATTTATGAAAATGATCAAAATTGCCATCCTTGCTCTGCACCTTTTTTTTTTCCTCCACAATTAGCCCTACTCACACTAATCCATACAACGGTTTGAATGGTGACCCACAAAAGGATATCCTGATGTCCTAACCCCTGGAACATGTGAATACCTTATTTGGAAAAAAAAATGTGTAATTAAGTTAAAGATCTTAAGATTATCCTGGATTAACCAGCTGGGCTCTAAATCCCATGACCAGAGTCCTTATAAGAGAGAGGAGGATGAACACACACACACACACACACACACAC